ATCCTGCAAGAACTCAACATAAAATTGACTGACATAGCTGAATGTAATATATCTGATGTTCCTCTATGGACCCCCCCCCCCCCCCCCCCCTGATTTAAACTTTACGTTACATTACGAGGGAAATCCAGTGTAATGCCCGAAGAACACATGATGACCTCCTTTCGGTAATGCATTTTGAAGTTCCCTTCTCATACACAACTTTACACCGATGGTTCCAAAGAAGGTGAAAAAGTGGCAGCAGCCTGCTGTTCCGCTAATTCTTGCACTTCAGTTCGACTACCAGACGGTGCCTCCACCTTTTCTGCTGAAGCATGCGCCATTGGTTTGGCCCTTATCCATATCGATGAACACTGCATTAACCTTTCAAGACTCCTTACTAAGCATAATTTATCTAGCCTTATTGATAAACCTACACGTATGACTCAGGAGAGCGCCACTTCTATTGATGTTATCTTTACAACAACCGAAACATAATTATAAATACTTATACACCACCACCCTTCTGTAGTGATCATTCCTCTGTGCATGCATCAATTTTATTTGGTGTATTCAAACAAGTAAGTCATAAGAAAAATATTTTAAAATATGAAGAAGGTGATTTTGAAAGTATGAATAACACTCTTCTTGATGTTGACTGGGTGAATCTATCTTCAAACCAGAACTCTAATACATTTAACAGTACCATAACTGATCTATTCATGGATCAGGCAAATGACTTCATTCCTGTTAAAGTAATAACAGTACGTCCTAATGATAAACCATGGATGAACAACAACATAAGATTAAAGATGAGACAACGCAATAGAATTCACAGAAAGGCATAATTAACAAATAGTACATATTTCGGATTCACAGGAATGAAGCCATTGACCTGATCCGTGAAGCTAAGTCAACATATATCAAAACCCTAGAACACTCTTTAAACGACAATAAGATTCCCCCAGATAAATGGTGGAAAATTGCTAAATCTATCTCTAACTTCACCAATAAATCGTCTCCAATTCCTCCTCTTGTAATTAATAACCAAGCCGTTCACTATCCTTTTGATCAAGCTGAGGTCCTCAATAATCACTTCATTAATATCTCCACATCCTCACCTGATCTCCAACTACCTCAGACAGCACAACCAGCAAATCCTTATTCACTATCTAATATTAATATTACTGAACAATATGTTGCTGACTAAATTAATATTCTTAATATAAATAAGCCCCCAGGACCTGATGGAATTGTTCTCAAAAGTATTAAAAGAATTAATTCCTCTCTTAAATTACCCCTCATGATCTTATTTAATAAAACATTAGAAACAGGAGTGATTCCAAATAGCTGGAAACAGGCAAATATAATGCAGTTTATAAGGGTAATGGATCATCTAATGATGTTTTAAACTACAGACCTACTTCAGTAACTTCATGCTTTAGTAAAATAATGGAAAAAATTGTATTTAAATATCTTTATACATTGTAACTACCTGTTGGAGAATTCTATAAGCACCAATCTGGATTTACACCTGTTGATTCAACAGTTAATCAACTCTTGTTTATATATAATGAAATTTTTAGTAATATGGACCAGGGTAAGGAACTTAGATTTATTTTCTGTTATATTAGCAAAGCATTTGATAGGGTTCGGCATAAAGGTCTAATTCATAAACTGAGGACTTATGGTATTGATGGAAATTTGCTACTCTGGTTTGAAAATTATTTAACAGACAGAATGCAAACAATTAGCACTGAAGGATATCACTCTCAGTTTAGGACTACAAATGCAGGGGTACCTCAGGGATCTATTCTGGGACCACTCCTGTTTCGTCTTTATATTAATGATATTCATGACAATGTTTCTACTAATATTAAACTTTTTGCAGATGACACTTCTATGTTTGTAATCATAGACAAAAATCCAGTTCAGGCAGCCCAGGATCTCTCGAATGACCTTGTAAACATTAGTGAGTATATATATGGGATATCAATTTTAACCCAAATAAAACAAAGTCAGTTGTATTTTCTAGAAAACATAACCACGAACAACCCCTATATCCTTTCAAAACAATCAAATCACTGCTTCAAAAACACATAAACATTTAGGACTAACTTTTACAGACGATGCATCATGGAAACAGCACATACAGATTATATATGAAAAAGCATACAACAGATTAAATATTCTTCGTTATATCAAATCTAAGATAGGTCGTAAATCATTAATTAAAATATATATTGCATTTTTTAGACCAATTTTGGAGGATGCAGACATTGTATGGGATAATTGCACCTTACAATCTATTGAATTACTTGAATCTGTACAACTAGAAGCAGCTAGGATTATAACTAGTCTTTGTTCAGGGACATCACACAATAAACTCTATAATGAACTTGGTTGGGAAACACTGTCTGCAAGAAGGTGTACACATAAACAAATAATGATGTATAAGATAATGCATGGACTCTCACCACAATCCTTGCAAAATGTCACAAATCCTTTTATTAACAATCATAATAGCAATCCCTACTCTCTTAGACAAACCAGACTCTTTTGACAGTTTTTCTCCCTTTATGTGCCGCAATGTCAACACTATGGATACTGATATATATTGAACTCCCTATCTCTTGCTCTGTTTAAAAAATTACAAAATAAAGATAAAGTTAAAGACAGAGAAGTAACTTCAATTTTTAAAAACGACGGTGAAAGAAGGGTAAATATTATTCTTTGCCAATTAAAAAATACCTGTAGTAATTAAAATTCTGATTTATATCGTGACCATCTAATAGATAGTCCAACTTGTGCTTGTTCTTTTGAATACAAAAGAGCCTCTCATTATTTCTTCAATTGTCCACTGTATATCGAACAACGAAATACTTTGTTTACTTCTTTGAATAATATTAGTAATCATAACCATATGGATTTAAATATATTTTTTCAAGGTTGTCCTACATGTGATCTGAATATAAACTGACAGATGCTAAGTCATATTCAGATTTTTATTGGAAAACTAGACGTTTTAATTTTTATATGACGTAGAAAGCCATGATGCATTATCTGAATTGTTAATGGAATAACAAAGTATATGTATACACTGTTTGATGCATAATGATAAATGAGATTACAGTTGAGTAGGTTTGTTATATCTTGTTTATTTTCTGTTCAATATAATAAACATAATAATGTATTGCCCTTTTGTCACATTATTTAAATTTGTACTTTTTACTCATAAACAGTATTAGTAGCAATGAGCTGTGCACATACATGCACATTGACTTTTGGTCAAAGTCTATTCTTACTGTACATATGACATACTGACTGTGACTATGCTTTATTTAATAAGAAAAATAATTGTATGTGTGATGGATGTATGATTGTGAGTTGTTTGTGTATTGTTATTGGGATGTCCTATGATGAGTTTATCTTCTTTGTGTTTGTCATGATGGCGTTATCTCCCCTTATCCTTTAGTTAGTATTATATATTTTTTCATTTCAAAGTATCCTTAAATTAATTAATCACTATTGTTGTAACTACATTGTATATATGATCAAATTTTGAGCCACTCATGGAAAGAATTTATATAGGCTTGCCTGTTATTCAATCTATTTGACTATTACATCTGTCAATAAAATTTGTTGAAATGAAATGAACACTGCATTAAAAAGGCAATCATTTTTTCAGACTCTTTATCTGTCCTACACAGTTTATAGTTACGAGACACTAAAAACACACTTTTACAAAACCTCACTTTTCGCATATCTCGTATGTTAAAGAAATCTACTTAACTATGTGTTCCGAGCCATGTCGGAATTAAAGGCAACGAATTTGTTGACAGAGAAGCAAAACATGCGTTAAATCTCCATCAAACAAATATCAAACTACCATATACAGATTTTAAACCTATTATTCGTACAGCCATTTAAAATGAATGGCAGCAACGCTGGTCTCTCGAAACCAGCAACAAATGTTTTAAAGTACAACCGAAACTTAAAACATCTGTTCCCAGTCGGAAAGATCGTAGAGAGGAAGTTGTCCTTTCTCGGCGTCGTACTTGGCACACATATCCTTCTCATTCGTACCTTTTAAAACGAGAAGATCAATCTCCATGCCATGCATGTGACACTCCATTTACAGTGGAACATTTTGTATAGAATGTTCTGATTTTAAACACATTCGTGATACTTACTTTCGAGTCGCGGATATGAAAACTCTTTTGAGTTCCGTGGAATCGAAGGTATTATTTAACTATTGACTCTGATGTCTTTTAACCCACCTTTACCTCTATGACGTTATATATATCACATAGTCCATATCACCTATTCGTTATCTGTTTTATAATTGTAACCCTCTTTTTCTCTTAATTACCTACACATACAATGCAAATATTTTTAAAATATTCTTTTTATCTGATTTTATCTTCGCTACTCACAAGATAAAATAAATAGATAAATCACCTTGGCCCTAAATGACCACAGCTGTCGATGGGCCGTTAAACACAAACAAACAAACCCAAGCTTTTCATATGCAGCCTTCTCTGTTCGTAGTCGGGTCGTAGATCAAAGGAAGGGGGTATCTCCCGGGGGACCCAACGCCTTTGCGTATTAGGTATTTATTGATGTTCTGTGTAGATATGAAGTATGTGAGGTTAGGGTGGACGCAGGGGAGGGCGTCCTTAAATGACCATAGCTGTTGATAGGACGTTGAACAACAATAAACCAAACCAAACCAATTATCAGCGTATAGATGGAGTTTCAGTTTCACTTCCGGGTAGAGTTAACCGTTGATAAAATGTAATCTCTAAACCCGAAATATTTAAATCACAACTACCCATTATATCTTGAACAATGATATCGTTAAAATGACGTAAACAACTTATCAATGTTTAGATCAGAGGTCATAGTGCTTAGCCGCCTACGCGAATGCCAAACACAACTACACGATAGTTATTGACGCCCCTTAAGTAGCAAGCGTCACACTATCTGGGTTTTCCCAACATTATTTACACATACAACGTTTTTGAACAAGTGTCATTGGACAGAATTCAGTCCCTGATTACACGGTCGTATAGTTGACTGATCCAGAAATCGGTAAGACAAGTTAAAACTCACAACGAATTCAAACAGGTAAGAAATTCATTTGATGTAGTTAAAGGAACAATACATTCATATTGTGAAGTCTTAAACATTACATTATATACACTTCTTCCTCGACAAAACCTCATCTCTGCGATTTTATCAACAATGTGTTGTGCCTTAATATCACCAGTTTTACAATTTGTGTTGACCCTAAATTTCACAAGTCAGTTTATGGTGTAATGCCCTTGTTTATGATATGAGTGTCAGCATGTATTGTCATTATAAATATCACTAGTTTGTCAATAATAAGTGTCCATAGATATCACCAGCTTGTCAATAATAAGTGTCCATATATATCACAAGTTTGTCAATAATATGTTGTCAATATATATTACCAGCTTGTCAATAATGTGTTATCAATATATATCACCAGTTTGTCAATAATGTGATGTCAATAGATATCACCAGCTTGTCAATAATAAGTGTCAATAGATATCACCAGTTTGTCTATAATGTGTTGTCAATATATATCATCAGTTTGTCAATAATGTGTTGTCAATATATATCACCAGTTTGTCAATAATGTGTTGTCAAAAGATAACACCAGTTTTTCAATAATAAGTGTCCATAGATATCACCAGTTTGTCAATAATGTGTTGTCCATATATATTATCAGCTTGTCAATAATGTGTTGTCAATATATATCACCAGTTTGTCAATATTGTGTTGTCAATATATATCACCAGCTTGTCAATAATGTGTTGTCCATAGATATCACCAGTTTGTCAATAATGTGTTGTCCATAGATATCACCAGTTTGTCAATAATGTGTTGTCAATATATATCACCAGTTTGTCAATATTGTGTTGTCAATATATATCACCAGTTTGTCAATAACGTGTTGGCCATAGATATCACCAGCATGTCAATAATGTGTTGGCCATATATATCACCAGCTTGTCAATAACGTGTTGTCCATAGATATCACAAGTTTGTCAATAATGTGTTGTCTATATATATCATCAGCTTGTCAATAATGAGTGTCCATATATATCACCAGTTTGTCAATAATGAGTTTTCCATTAATATCACAAGTTTGTCAATAATGTGTTGTTAATAGATATCAACAGTTTGTCAATAATGTGTTGTCCATAGATATCACCAGTTTGTCAATAATGTGTTTTCAATAGATATCACCAGTTTGTCAATAATGTGTTGTCAATATATATCACCAGTTTGTCAATAATAATTTGTTTACAATAGATATCACCAGTTTCTCAATATTAAGTGTCCATTGATATCATCAGCTTGACAATAATAACTGTCCATATATATTTCCAGTTTGTCAGTAATATGTTGTCCATAGATATCACCAGTTTGTCAATAATGTGTTGTCCATATATATCACCAGCTTGTCAATAATGTGTTGTCAATAGATATCACCAGTTTGTCAATAATGTGTTGTCAATAGATATCACCAGTTTGTCAATAATAATGTTTTAACAATAGATATCACCAGCTTCTCAATATTAAGTGTCCATTGATATCATCAGCTTGTCAATAATAAATGTCCATATATATTTCCAGTTTGTCAGTAATATGTTGTCCATAGATATCACCAGTTTGTCAATAATGTGTTGTCCATAGATATCACCAGCTTGTCAATAATGTGTTGTCAATAGATATCACCAGTTTGTCAATAATGTGTTGTCAATATATATCACCAGTTTCTCAATATTAAGTGTCCATTGATATCATCAGCTTGTCAATAATAACTGTCCATATATATTTCCAGTTTGTCAGTAATATGTTGTCCATAGATATCACCAGTTTGTCAATAATGTGTTGTCCATAGATATCACCAGCTTGTCAATAACGTGTTGTCAATAGATATCACCAGTTTGTCAATAATGTGTTGTCAATATATATCACCAGTTTCTCAATATTAAGTGTCCATTGATATCATCAGCTTGTCAATAATAACTGTCCATATATATTTCCAGTTTGTCAGTAATATGTTGTCAATAGATATCACCAGTTTGTCAATAAGAAACGTCCATAGATATCACCAGCTTGTCAATAACGTGTTGTCCATAGATATCACCAGCATGTCAATAACGTGTTGTCCATAGATATCACAAGTTTGTCAATAATGTGTTGTCTATATATATCATCAGCTTGTCAATAATGAGTGTCCATATATATCACCAGTTTGTCAATAATGAGTTTTCCATTAATATCACAAGTTTGTCAATAATGTGTTGTTAATAGATATCACCAGTTTGTCAATAATGTGTTGTCCATAGATATCACCAGTTTGTCAATAATGTGTTTTCAATAGATATCACCAGTTTGTCAATAATGTGTTGTCAATATATATCACCAGTTTGTCAATAATAATGTGTTTACAATAGATATCACCAGTTTCTCAATATTAAGTGTCCATTGATATCATCAGCTTGACAATAATAACTGTCCATATATATTTCCAGTTTGTCAGTAATATGTTGTCCATAGATATCACCAGTTTGTCAATAATGTGTTGTCCATATATATCACCAGCTTGTCAATAATGTGTTGTCAATAGATATCACCAGTTTGTCAATAATAATGTGCTAACAATAGATATCACCAGTTTCTCAATATTAAGTGTCCATTGATATCATCAGCTTGTCAATAATAACTGTCCATATATATTTCCAGTTTGTCAGTAATATGTTGTCCATAGATATCACCAGTTTGTCAATAATGTGTTGTCCATAGATATCACCAGCTTGTCAATAATGTGTTGTCAATAGATATCACCAGTTTGTCAATAATGTGTTGTCAATATATATCACCAGTTTGTCAATAATAATGTGTTTACAATAGATATCACCAGTTTCTCAATATTAAGTGTCCATTGATATCATCAGCTTGTCAATAATAACTGTCCATATATATTTCCAGTTTGTCAGTAATATGTTGTCCATAGATATCACCAGTTTGTCAATAATGTGTTGTCCATAGATATCACCAGCTTGTCAATAATGTGTTGTCAATAGATATCACCAGTTTGTCAATAATGTGTTGTCAATATATATCACCAGTTTGTCAATAATAATGTGTTTACAATAGATATCACCAGTTTCTCAATATTAAGTGTCCATTGATATCATCAGCTTGACAATAATAACTGTCCATATATATTTCCAGTTTGTCAGTAATATGTTGTCCATAGATATCACCAGTTTGTCAATAATGTGTTGTCCATAGATATCACCAGCTTGTCAATAATGTGTTGTCAATAGATATCACCAGTTTGTCAATAATGTGTTGTCAATATATATCACCAGTTTGTCAATAATAATGTGTTTACAATAGATATCACCAGTTTCTCAATATTAAGTGTCCATTGATATCATCAGCTTGACAATAATAACTGTCCATATATATTTCCAGTTTGTCAGTAATATGTTGTCCATAGATATCACCAGTTTGTCAATAATGTGTTGTCCATAGATATCACCAGCTTGTCAATAATGTGTTGTCAATAGATATCACCAGTTTGTCAATAATGTGTTGTCAATATATATCACCAGTTTGTCAATAATAATGTGTTTACAATAGATATCACCAGTTTCTCAATATTAAGTGTCCATTGATATCATCAGCTTGACAATAATAACTGTCCATATATATTTCCAGTTTGTCAGTAATATGTTGTCCATAGATATCACCAGTTTGTCAATAATGTGTTGTCCATAGATATCACCAGCTTGTCAATAATGTGTTGTCAATAGATATCACCAGTTTGTCAATAATGTGTTGTCAATATATATCACCAGTTTGTCAATAATAATGTGTTTACAATAGATATCACCAGTTTCTCAATATTAAGTGTCCATTGATATCATCAGCTTGACAATAATAACTGTCCATATATATTTCCAGTTTGTCAGTAATATGTTGTCCATAGATATCACCAGTTTGTCAATAATGTGTTGTCCATAGATATCACCAGCTTGTCAATAATGTGTTGTCAATAGATATCACCAGTTTGTCAATAATGTGTTGTCAATATATATCACCAGTTTGTCAATAATAATGTGTTTACAATAGATATCACCAGTTTCTCAATATTAAGTGTCCATTGATATCATCAGCTTGACAATAATAACTGTCCATATATATTTCCAGTTTGTCAGTAATATGTTGTCCATAGATATCACCAGTTTGTCAATAATGTGTTGTCCATAGATATCACCAGCTTGTCAATAATGTGTTGTCAATAGATATCACCAGGTTGTCAATAATGTGTTGTCCATAAATATCACCAGTTTGTCAATAATTTGTTGTCAATAGATATCACCAGTTTGTCAATAATGTGTTGTCAATAAATATCACCAGTTTCTCAATATTACGTGTCCATCGATATCATCAGCTTGTCAATAATAACTGTCCATATATATTTCCAGTTTGTCAATAATAATGTGTTTACAATAGATATCACCAGTTTCTCAATATTAAGTGTCCATTGATATCATCAGCTTGTCAATAATAACTGTCCATATATATATCCAGTTTGTCAGTAATATGTTGTCAATAGATATCACCAGGGTGTCAATAATGTGTTGTCAATATATATCACCAGTTTGTCAATAAGCAGCGTCAATAGATATCAATAGCCCGTCAATAATGTGTTGTCCATAAATATCACCAGTTCGTCAATAATTTGTTGTCAATAGTTATCACCAGTTTGTCAATACTGTGTTGTCCATAGATATCACCAGTTTGTCAATAATTTTTTATCAATAGATATCACCAGTTTGTCAATAATAGGTGTCCATAGATATTACCAGTTTGTCAATAATATGTTGTCCATAGATATCACTAGTTTGTCAATAATACGTGTCCATAGATAACACAAGTTTGTCAATAATATGTTGTTAATATATATCACCAGCTTGCCAATAACGTGTTGTCCATAGATATCACCAGTTTGTCAATAATTTGTTGTCAATAGATATCACCAGTTTTTCAATAATAAGTGTCCATAGATATCACCAGTTTGTCAATAATGTGTTATCAATATATATCATCACCAGTTTGTCAATAATAGGTGTCCATAGATTTTACCAGTTTGTCAATAATATGTTGTCCATAGATATCACTAGTTTGTCAATAATAAGTGTCCATAGATATCACCAGTTTGTCAATAATAGGTGTCCATAGATATTACCAGTTTGTCAATAATATGGTGTCCATAGATATCACCAGTTTGTCAATAACGTGTTGGCCATATATATCACCAGCTTGTCAATAATGTGTTGTCAATAGATATCACCAGTTTTTCGATAATAAGTGTCCATAGATATCACCAGCTTGTCAATAATGTTTATCAATATATATAACCAGTTTGTCAATAATAGGTGTCCATAGATTTTACCAGTTTGTCAATAATGTGCTTGCCATATATATCACCAGTTTGTCAATAATGTGTTGTCAATAGATATCACCAGTTTTTCGATAATAAGTGTCCATAGATATCACCAGTTTGTCAATAATGTTTATCAATATATATCACCAGTTTGTCAATAATAGGTGTCCATAGATTTTACCAGTTTGTCAATAATATGTTGTCAACAGATATCACCAGGTTGTCAATAATATGTTGTCCATATATATGACCAGGTTGTTAAAATTATGTAGTCCATACATAATAAAAATTCATTAATGATGTGCTGTCTATAAATATCACCAGTTTATTTACAACATTTTGTAAATAGATATAACCAATTTGTCAATATGGTTTGTCCGGAAGTTTAAATCACAAGTTTGTCATAAATGTGCTGTCCAGAGATATCACAAAATTATCAATGATGTTTTCCCCATAGATATCACCAGATTGTCAATAATGCTTTTTTCTATAGATATCACAATTGATAGCCTGTTTTTATAGATATGTCACCAGGTTTTCAAATAAGGGATAACCCTACTGTGCTTTTAATTTTGCGCAAATTTAGTTCTACTGATGACGCCAGTAAAACTGATATTTGCAACAGTATAATCACGATTTCCGCAAATACAGTATGGTTATCTCCGTTCTAATTCATATAAGACAAAACCACCAAAAGAAACGACGATTTTAAGATAATTTTATTGTTTACTTCAAACTCTTGGTCACTCTGCCGTGGATGGGTGATGTCTGGAATATTCAAAGTCAGGCGGAATTACATTTACCTTTCGGTGTCACGCTATTAATCGTGAATAATAAATTTCATGATGTGTCAGGGTCAGTTGAGGTCATTGACGTCATTTACAATCGCCATCCGGGCTTCATATGCAAATGAGAACAATTTGCGGACGGTACATGTATATCATGGTTATACTAGCGCAAATGATTTTGATTAACCAATCAAATGTCGTGTTACATCTCAAATGAATAAGAATAACGTGTTGTCCAAAGATATCGCCAGTTTGTAAATAATATGTTGAACATATATCACCAGTGTGTCAATTATATCCTGAAATATCAACAATTCGCCATTGTTTTGTCCTAAAACATTGCTAGTTTGTCAATAACGTGTTCCTTAATTAATCAACAAATTGTTAATGCTTTGAAATGAGGTATCACAATTAAAGAAACTTATAAAACTATAAGACAATCAAGACTCATGACAGGTTTGTAAGTATAAAGTATCACCGTTGCGTATTTATAGAATAAGTATAAATTAGAATAATAATCTATCATAACATATGTTTGATGACTTAACAGCATATGCATATAATTCTTAAATAAGAAATATAATACTTATAATAAAAATAAGATATATAAAATATATGTTCAACATATTATTTACAAACTGGCGATATATATATGGACAGCACGTTAACAAAGGGTCTGTTTAATAATCGAAATGTAATTTTGCATTACTAGAAACTCGATGGAAAATACAACCATCACACTGCATGTGGAATCCGTCACAGCCAATGATGACGTTGTTCAAGCAACTGCTATTGTCCTGTCCAAATCACAGGCTGTTCGATCCACTGAGATCACCACTTCTACCCAAGATGCCGTCATACAGTCTAACCTGGTCACAGCTAGCAGCGACGATAATGGACTGACTGCCTCCGTAACGTCAAACAAGAACGTTGTTTCTTCAACTGATCAAACCTTCAACGATAATACTCCAGCTACCGTATCGGTTAATGTTAACAGCGGCTCATCACAGAAACCAGACACACTCTTGTTCATGGTTGTAAATACCAACAACAGCAAGTGCGTTTCCGTTTTGATTCCCTTTGCGGAGTCTAGAGACATCCAGATACATGGGGAGGTATCCTCTATGACGGTTTATGCCTTTGGTTTGCAGAGACAACCAAATCATGCATTGGAATGGTACACAGTTCTAGCACACAGCCATCTTAGCATTGCGAGCAGCACTTCGTTTCAGCAGATAACAGGTAAATTTAAATATTTAAACAGGTAAACTTCAGTCGTGGGTTACGGACATTTTAAACCACTAAGTCATGTTGATTTGAACACAGAAAACATGTTTTATCCTAAAGACAAACATTTTCGGATATGTGGGAATATTCTTGTACTTGAAAGCGCATCTAGTACATGATTACATTAGGATAAACATGAAGGTAACATCTGCTCAGACATTTGTTGATAAATAATAAATTCCTCTGTATTAACATCCCCTTGCTTGAGGGGATTACCAGTCCTTTTTTAAATCACGAGATTTGATCGTAATGAGTTTCCATTGTTCTTTTACTTGTTTTCTCATCAGATGTACCAGGAAATGATGTACTGGTTGTTCAAATGCCAGATCTCAATTCTACCGATATCCGGAATAACCTCCCATTTTCTGCAAAGGTAAAAAAAACACAATCGAAAATAAAATCCTTAAGACCATACTTACGGCCATGAAGGCCGATCATTTCAAATTGAAGAAAATGTGAACCAGAGATCTTAGTATTATGTTACAATTGGTTCAATGTGTATTAGATGTTTAGACATTGTTTCACTAAGGAGTAGATAGATAACAAGAGGCCCAGGGGCCTTAAAGCTCACCTGATAATTTATTTTCAATTAAAACCTACCGAGTACCATACTGGTTAACAAAGGAGTACAAGAAGCAAAGTTGCAAAAAGAACTACATGTAAATCTGTCTTGGTGGGTAAGACACCAAGAAAATGAGTTTCCATGTAATGTCCAAAGGAGGTAGCCTCCAGGATAGGCCCACACACAAACACAGTTTATAAAAAATAAATGATTCTTTTGTCCCTAAACATGCTTCAGACTGCATTTGGTTTAAATCCCTAGGAGAAAAACCCCTCTATTTCCCATATTGGGCCCCGCCCCTCTGCTCCCAGAGGGGCCACGCCCTCCGTTTATACAAACTTAAGGCCCTTTTGTCCAAAGATGCTCTGGGACAAATTTGGTCAAAATCCGACTATTGATTGAGAAGAAGAAGATATTTGAAGATTTACCTATGTCCACCCTATTTGGCCCCGCCCCTCTGCCCCCAGGGGGGCCATACCCTCCGTTTATACAAAACTGAGAACCCTTTGTCAAATGCTACTCCAGACCAAATTTGGTCAAAATCCTCCGAGTCGTTAAGGACTAGAAGCGTTTTAAAGGATAAAGTTGACGGACGCTGTGCCGTGGCATAAATAGTTAAGCTTAAAATGGTCTGAACATCAGTCTTCCACGGGTTTAACAGAAAACACTTGATTACACTGCACAATATTTTGTCATCAATTCATATGATAAACTGGGATTGAAATATAATTGATCGTCATTTATGATAATAAAAGGACTTTCTTCTTGAGTATTATTAAATCACCGCATTCGCTGTTAAAGACAACGTAACTTGGCAGTGTTAATTGCAAAGTCAATTACTATATACCGGCTTTATTTTACAGAAATCTATGCCAGCCAAAGTCATTCAAGACAAATGGACGGACGCCAAGTACACAGTAACTGGTCTACATAAAGCAAACGGAATGACTTTCATACGGCAGGTGTTAGACGGTAGTCTATCGATACTCGTACACAGTGTCACCAGTGTTCCCCTTCCGTTCCCACTACTACCAGCCAGAGACTACGAGTTGCATCGCATGGAAATCACACAACAATCCGGCAATGTGTTCAATAGTAATTTACCAACAGAAAGGTTTTCTTTTAGAACAAGTAAGTTTTATATTGTATTATTAAGTAAATACATTTTACTATTATAAAGCTTTACTTACAAAAAAATAACTATGTCGGTAATATATCATTGAAGATATGTAATAAGTGTCAAGTCAAACATATTCGTTGTGAATTTAGGCGATGTTTTCCTGGTTGATGATGAAGCAGTTCATTCAAATCCTTTAAATGTTTCAGAAATGTCACAACGGGATGTGGTTGAACTCTACAGAAAAGCTGTTTATTATATTAATGGCAACTGTCCAAGATTTGGGCTACTGACTTATTTGTATCGTAATAAGTCTCCACAGTATTTTGATGACATATCCAGATATATGAAAGGATGGATGAACGCCTACCCCAAGAACGATGGTGGCGACCCTGCTTCAGTTCTAAATGGAAGGATCAACGGCCTCTTTTTCAGCGCCGTACTACATGAAAGGACAGGACTTCTTCCTCCATCCTCACCGTTTGGATCAGCCCGACTCTTCATTCCAACCTTATTGGTTTTCAACGACAAAATGAATTTGTATTTTGCAGATTTTTATTGTCACTCTGCACATGGGCGACACAAAGTCACGCTTGTTCTTACTGTGAAGGGGAGCGAAGAGGACACTTTTTGCCAAAACCGACTTGTGTACTTAGACCCATACAAGAACCCATTCTTCTTCAGGGAGGTCCATCCGTCTGGTAACGGACTGGTTCGTCCAGTCGTAACAGTCCATGTAATTGTTGAGATATTTTTGACAATGGATCTAAATATAGTGGACCTTCAGAATCTGTATCCATCTAATGTATTTTTCACATCCACCGAGGCGACTACATCTGGTACAAGCATGGTAAAAGGTTTACCGAAGTGTCCTACCTGTACTGTCTGTATTCTGCCTCGTTTCTGCTCCTGAACCAGCCGTATCGGTGTTACCATTGATGATGATTAATGTTGAAGATTGATAAATCTGGCTTTGTTCCAAAAGCATGTGCAGTAACAGTTCATGATATAATAGGAAGCACAAACGGTCATTCATCCGTGATGATATTACAGAATCGTAAATTTTAATAATGCGACCAAATGAAATATGATGTTAAAATTGCTCTTCCTACATGTACCTTTCCTTAATTAGTATTCATATGTATTGGCCGTAGTTTAAACTCATAATACTTTTAGTTTACACGTTTCTAAAATATGCGGAATGCTTCGGTTTATACAGACTTCACTACTTTACTTATTAATAAGAAAATCGTTCAAAACCTAATCGACTTTAATGTATTTGTATTAGCTAAACTTCAGTAATAGTTATGAATCAGCTGGCTATCAATGAAACCATCAGTACAAGTGCCCATTATATAGGCCTCATTTCCACTGAATCCACGGTCCATACATGTGTATTATATTCAAGTATTTTGTACATAAACTGCCTGATATCTGCTAAAAGTATTATTGCATATGTTTAGGGTTTGCCATCAAAATACTTGATGTATTAGCTTGGTACCTGTAATAATCTATTCACAAAAAAGACGGGTTTTTTCTATGTAAATAACTGTATTACTTCATGCGTATGTTTGTATGTATGTATGTATGTATTGTATGTATGTATGTATATATGTATGTATGTATATGTTTATTACAGATGCGTTTATGCGGTCAGGTATCCTTACAGTCAAATACATGCCGCAAGGTAGTATCATATTCACAACCTTATACTTACACGCAGGGTTTGTAAATAACTTTTTAATGCCACGTTTAATTTTGGGCATGAATTGCTGTCTATTGAACATGAAGAACGATAGTATATTATCTCTACCTATTATAAATTGTTCCTAATAACATTATTGCACTCTTAATTTTTGGTGTCTTATTGTCATATGAGCTAGTTAATAAAATGTATCATTATAATTAATTACAGAAAATGTATAATTTAATGATCTGTACCTTCACACTTAATTCGTAATATTAGTAATCTGTACCATCCGATCAAATGCGTAAATTGGAAGGATACCGGCTGATCCGTGTCACTGACCCCTGAGTTCGTGAAAATGCATGGGATGTTATGTAGAATGGTTGTACTCTCAACAGGTAACGTGAGGTCTATCGCGTAATCAGCATACGGTATGCGGTCAGTGAGGCGGGTCACTCGATATTTATATAACTGTTTTTTCTTACATTTCATTTTTGTATCACAGTCATTTTTTATATGGATCATAAAGGTTAATGTAAATAATGTTTATGTTAATCATCTATTTTTATATTGTTTTTTGTTCTCATTTGTCAATGTGTTTACATCGCCAAGGCAAATTGTGTTTTTAGAATATAAACAGTTATACATGTCAATCTTGTTTACAAAACTTAAATATTGTTATATCCCGTGTATTTTCCTTAAAACCTATCTGTGTCATTCTCTGCTCTTACTCTACCAGGATGTTTTTTCTACATATGCGTTTCCTTTTTGACAATGGATAAAACAACAAACTATCTTGGTGCTGTAACGGCAGGGAATGACTCACTGACTCACTACTTTATAAATGTTTATGTATCGTTAGTGTCTCTCTGAATTTGCACTACATTTTTATTTTATTATATATATTATCCATATGCGGTGATATTCACCCGAACCCCGGTCCAACCAACTCCCACATCCACCTAGATTTTATTTCTATTTGTCATATCAATATTTGTTCGTTAAGGAACAAAACTCATATTCTTGATGCTGAGTTCTCCGAATACGATATACTGTGCGTCTCTGAAACTCATCTTGATTCTTTGGAAAACTTTGGTAATATTTTTAGAAAGGATAGAGATAATTATGGTGGCGGAGTTCTGATTTATACTAAACATAATATTAATATTAAACGTAGACCTGACCTTGAGACAGATGATCTTGAATTAATATGGACTGAAGTAACTACCCATAATAAACCTATTCTTCTTGGCTGTATATATAGACCCCCTAACTCTCTCCTTGGCTACTGGGACAGGCTAGATATTAACCTAAACAATATTATTTATCTGCAAAGGGAAGTGGTCCTGGTAGGGGATATAAATCAAGACATGATTCATCTAAATCCAAACTCACATCTACATAGAATTTTGTTGAAATATGGGTTAGAAAACACTGTTACTGAACCTACCAGGATTACTTCCTAGACCTCAACATCACTTGACACTATATTAACAATCAACGTTAACTTTATTAAAAATACAATAGTACATCCTCCCTCTTGAAGTGATCACTGTCCAGTTAGCGCTGATCTGAAATTTAAAACTCTAAAGAAACATGCATATAAAAAGACTTTATTATACTTCAATAACACTGACTTTGACGGGGCAAATGAGTATCTTAAGTCCATTGACTGGAATATTTCATTATAAGGTGATATTGAAAATATGGACTCTCTTTTAACTGATAAAATCCGAACTGCTATCGACCTATTCGTGCCACATAAAACAGTAACTATAAGACCTAATGATAAAATTTGGATGACTAATGGTATGAGACTCAAAATTAGACAAAGAAATCGCCAGCATTCCAAGCTAAGCTACATAATACTCCAGCTTCTTGGGCAAAATTTAGATCTATTCGGAATGAAGTTATATCCTAAGTCCGGAAAGCTAAAGAAAAATATTTATCTAAACTTCAATTTTTTTTTAATTGATAAAACCATACCCCCCGGAAAATGGTGGCGTATTGCAAAATCGGTTATGAATCTCAAAAACAAAAACGAAAATGACTCTACATTGATTATCAACGGCGAACTGAAAATCCATCCCATAGATAAAGCGGAATCTTTTAACGATTATTTCACTTCGATTTCCGTAACTGAAAAGAATTCTGACGATTTACCTCCTGACTGCCCTGCCCCCGACCCCGACATAACTTTTCAACAATAGACATAACCGAACAGAATCAGTCAGGCTTTTTACCTAAGGATTCCACAGTGTATCAACTATTAACTATATACGATGAAATTGTAAAACATTTAGACAAAGGCAAAGAGGCCAGAATGATTTTCTGTGATATTAGCAAAGCCTTTGACTGAGTTTGGCATGACGGTCTAATTTATAAACTAAAAAAGTATGGTATATGTAATAATATGTTAGAATGGTTCACATCATACCTTCATGATAGGCAACAGAGAGTGGTCATAGATGGGTATAAGTCTAATTGGAAAACATTACAGGCAGGGTTACCTCAAGGTTCAGTCCTTGGTCCTTTTTTGTTTTTATTATATATTAATGATATTGGTGATGAATTGGCCTCAAACTTCAAACTATTTGCTGATGATACCCCCTTATGGTCTCATTGAGGGAGACAGGCAAGAATGTGCTAATATATTAAATGATGATCTGAGGAAAATTTCAAGCTGGGCTAGAAAATGGGGAATTATCTTTAATCCAGATAAAACTGTAGCCCTGCTCTTCTTGAGGCGGGTTGACTCTGAGACACTGCATCCTAACCTATATTTTGATGAATCATCAATTATTAATGTTTCTAATCATAAACACCTAGGTTTGTTTTTCAACAGCAAGGCTAATTGGTCTAACCACATAAACTATATATACGAAAAAGCTTATAAAAGAATTAATATACTTAGAATGTTAAAATACAAAATTGAGAGAAAATCACTCGAAACTATATATATCACATTTATACGTCCAATTCTGGAATATGCAAATACTATATGGGCAAACTGCACGCAGAATGAATGCAGTGTCTTGGAGTCTATCCAACTAGAAGCAGCACGTATTATTTCAGGGTTAAGACGTGGAACAAGTCAAGCTATCTTATATAGAGAATCTGGTTTTATAACACTTAATAGAATATGACATTTGCATCAAAATATTACTTTTTATAAAATATATAATAGGAAATGTCCCTCTCATGTCTATGATATAATTCAACCGCACATTAATGATAATACTGACAATTATCATCTTCGCCACAATAGAATTATTAATGTTCCTATACCAATAACTCAGTTATATAATGCCAGTTTTTTCCCGAACTGATGTCTGAATGGAATAATCCAACTTGCCTGTATCCCACAATGACATCCATTGGATCTATAAAAAGAGATTTTTTACACTCAGATGAAATGGATTCTCAACCCCAATGTACTGATATTTTTAAATACAATGGTGATCGAAAATTTAATATGACCTTTTGTCAACTTAGAAACTGTGCCAGTAACCTGAATTCAGATCTATTTGAGTCTCACCTAATTGATTCCCCTGCCTGCTTATGTAGGTCTCCTGTTGAGGATTGTGATCACTTCTTCTTCCATTGTACTCTGTATACTAATCAAAGGCAAATTCTCCTGAAGTCCATTTCTGCTCTTAATGACATTATTCCATTAAATACTGAGACTTTTCTTTATGGATGTCAAAGACTCAATATTAATATGAATATAAGTATCTTGGAGATGGTTAAGAGATTCGTTAAAGATACGCTTTTACTAGATTACATTTACTTGTTTATCTTTTTTTCACATGACTTTACTGTATGGAATGATACCAGTACATAATTGTACTATGTGCCGTCCACCAGCATAATTTTAATTGCCATTTTTTGTAAAATCTAGTCTTTGTACAACCATTATCAAAATAAAATAAAATAATAATATCAATATTCATGTACATAATATACATGTTTTATCATTACTTCAATTCAATATGATGTGTGTAAACTGTTTATAACTGTAAGGAGAGGGCGCTCATAGGCTTTGCCTGTTATCCAATTCCTTTGTATCTGAGATCTGAACAATAAATATTCTGAAATGAAATTATATTCAAGAAAGTAACTTTAAAAAACGCAAGTTATATCGATTTCATTTAAATGATTTCCCCCTCTATTGTAGGAACAATAGATCTTACTCTAACATGAACCGTTATGTTTGGTTTGATTTTGTTTAACGTCCTATTAACAGCTTAGGTCATGTAAGGACGTGCCTCCATGTATCTTGTGTAAGCGTGTATGTGTGCCGGAGACAGGGTATGTTGGTGTAATTGGTTCTTTGTGATAGCGCGGATCTAATACCGACTTTATAGTGCTATCTCACTGAAAAACCATGCCGAAAGCACCCAGCACTGCATTCCGCCCGGTCCCATTATACTGACAACGGGTGTACCAGTTGTTGCCGTTCCCCTAGATGCTGAACGTTAAGCAAGAAATAACAACTTCCATTTTGAGGGCTTTGGTATGTCCCTGCCTGGGGAGAACCCATTACCGTCCCCACCTGTTGAACCACATTTAATACCACAGGACAGCACAGCACTACAGTACGGTGATGTGTTGAGTTACTTAGAGCACATCTACCAACACTTTGGCAAATGCACCGTACTTACACATATCGGAGCAATATGTTATCGCTACACTTATTTAAAATTAAGCGTGATTTCGACACGTAACACACTTATATGGGCAATAGAGAGGGGAACTGTGTCATAACATTGTTTTTGATAGTGTTTGTTTTGACATAACTACACGTTAAAACATGTAACAAAGGAAAAGAAAACCTCGTATGATGATAGTGTCCTTGTACCGTATATAATACAGATTTTATGTGATTCGCCTATTAGGAATAAAAGTGTACCTGTAGCAATTTGATATGTTAGTTCATTATCTATCTGTATTGTCATTTACAATCAATTGCCTTTGAACAGTGAAAATTTCATCACTTAAAATAACTAGTTAATTAATATTTTGTGTACCGTTTTACTATTGAGAATTAAATAAAGAGTTATATTTACTAAAGTACGTATATTCTTTGATGATATGTACAGTATTATATTGCCCGTATAAATAATATACAGATATTGTATGGTTGTGAGGGAAATATTACTTGTATTGTCCCCGAGACATTAACTATTTCCCGAGGCGAATATATCAACAACAGAATTATTCCATTTCTTTTGTAAATTTCCCGCAATACCCGACCGGTTGTTTTGCAAACGAAGTTCGTCTTGGTCTCGGAAACGCTTACGGACCTTATTGTATTGTATGAGATGGGAGTAGAAATGTTCCGAAGGAACATGACAAGCGCAATTTCCAATCAGAATGAACGAAGCTGAAATTCCTTGAAAATTTGAATGCAGGTAAATAGCGCATTCCGGGTAAATAGTTCTAATGAAAGAGGTTATTTTGAATAGCATTTCTATTTTCTACTTTTACATAATGTAAAAAGAAAGAAAGGTATAATCATTTTATTGATATTTGTAATTCGAACTAATGTATCATATTTACTATGGTCGTAAACAACTTCAACTATGAAAGGTTGATGCATCCTCTGATAATTTTATGTCTTAAGTTAAATGTTGGATGAAGTTTATTTTTAAAATATGTTTCTTTGTATTCCTGATCAATCAACGTTGTTTAAGAAATTATTTGCCTACCACTTCCTTTATAGCTTTTAACTATATTATCTTGCTTTGCTCTATATGATTAGCCGCGTTGCAGAAATTCATACACAAATACAATTGTCTTATTATTTATCGGGATTTGGAAGCGCTTTACACGCTTTTGTTGCCACTACTCCGATGCTCATTTGAAGTTTTTAACATGTCTTGGATCTGAAATACAATATAAATTTTATTTATTTTACAACAATTTTGAGACACATCTTCTCAACATATATTAATCATACTTAGTCGAACTCGGGACGTCTTGGTGAAAGCTGAGTGCTCTATTCACTGCGCCATCCGAACACCCCCTCGGATCTGAACAAGACGTTACCGCCGGGTTTCGCCAAGGAAGAGTGAAACGCTCAACCTTCCGGAACACTTTGTCTTTTCCCCCTTGTACTCTTTCAAGGGTCTCTATGTGAGTGTCGCAATTTATTATACAGCATGTTGTGTAACCATTAACACAAAAGTCTGGAGGTAGAAATATGCTGCTTTTTATACAATATCCAGGTATATCATAGCGATGTTTTGTCCTTGACCAGAACGAATAACCATAGGTCTTTGTTTATAATTGACAGATATCTTCGTCCAGAACATAAGGTGTCGACCATAGACGTTTTCGCGTTTCTATTTATGTTTGTCCACCGGAACATGACGTGAAGTGAGGGCTGGCTCGGTCACGACTCTGCAAAACGAAAGCACATTCTGATTCTGAGAAGCGATGTGATTCATTGACATTTGTTTAAACATTTGCTGATTACGACAGGAGTGGCTAACAGTATACAGTCATTTATCCAGGCAAGGTAAGTAGGACAGAACTTTAGGTAAAGTAAACGAGAAGTTTACAGATAAACACATGTCTTTTTTTGATAATGCAGTTGTTTGTAAATTATACCTGTGTTAGACGATAATTTTATTCAAATTAACTGAGAAAGGAAGGTGGGTTTTATTTAATCTAGTAATGTTATTTGTCCGAGTTTTGAAGGTAAGCTGAGCTTGAAGTGTTATTAAACAAAGTAAGGGATCATCATTTCAGATTAAAGGAATAAAAATATGTTTAAAGCGTCCCGAAACATTAGTTGAATAGACGCAAAGATAAAGGCTGTTCAAAAGCTCTTCAGGTAACAAGTGTGTCATGTGTTTATTAGTAGATGTGTCAGGTGTTATCACCCAAAACAGGTATCGTATATAATCAGGCTGTCCAAAATACATTTTATCGATACTTCAGCATTACTCTTATCAGATAATCAGTTCGGTGTTGTAAATATAGTCATAGTGAACCAGTGACCTTTCCAGGAACTGCGAACTGGACTTCAATGAGACCTTATGGAGACGGTTGTTTTTTCTTATATTCTTTTTAGATTTATTTAGCTTCAAAATTTGTTTTCCATGTTAAGCTTTTCTGAAGCTTGTCATGCTCAAATAATATCTTCGAATGTGTATGAATACTAACTGCCTCCTCCAACTTCCGAGAGTTTGAAGTGGTAGTTTTCAAAAGCAAAATGTTTAAATCAATTTTCGTCTCTTGTCGGTTTAATGTGCAGAAACACTCACCGCTGGAATAACACTGGAGGAGATGTTATCTGCTATCTTGCAAGAGAGAAACTAAAAATGTAACGAACTTATGCAAAGTTCCAGGGTTAGAATAATATTAGCATCCTTAAATTGAATCAAAACGTTTAAGGAAACTCTCTTTGACACTTCGTCTTAGCCCAGCCCTATTGATGACAACATGGTAAAAACAGTTTTCTGCAGCACATTTAAGACTGGCATGATGTCGTTTATCTACTTATCGAGAAAGTCTGGCAGTCACTACCGATCTAAGAAACGGTAATTAGGGTTTGGTATGCTAAGACATAATACCGGCAGAATATACATATCCAAGCTTTGATAGTTTAAAACGTTTGTTTTCAAATTTCATGCCGTATCCCCTTTTGTTTTTCTATCTCTTTAATTTCTGTTTATGTCTGTTTGTTTTTGTTTGTATGTTGAGCAAGTCATTTTTCCTGACTTACACTCAAGCCTTAGCGTAACATAGTATAACTGTCCTACTGTACTCGTTTTCAGACATGAAATGTATATGACAATATTGTAAAAGTGAAGGTCTTTTATCACGTTATTTAAATCTTATTTAAATGATGATAAAAACTATATATAAAGGTTGCAACATATCAGTTTAATTAACGAGCAGGGCTCTGCTTTTTGTGATGCCAAAATAAAAGAATCCACCCTATATCAAAGATGGTGCAAAACAACAAACACTGGCAACACGATGGAAATTACGAGGACGACGAGGTAAGATAACATGGACCATTTTATCGTTTCACTTTAATAAATATACTTTCATTTAGCTACTGAAAGAATACATTCACTTACACTTTTATTCAAATGAAAATATCCAAGTCAAAGAAATATAGAATGGAAGTTAAGAACTCTATGTTTATATATTTTACATTACCGTGTATGGCAGTTATTCGTGGTTTGGGTACAATTTTGTCTTCATCTTACCATTCACAGGTAAGCAGATTTATTTTGAGAAGCCATGTAGGAAAAAACAAGTTACCTTTCCTAATAGACATCAAACGCACAAAAGAACTTCAACCAGATTTCTTATTTTTGCAAGTATTCAACAGCAAGAGTCAATTGATATTTCATTCCTTCTCTCGTCCATCACAATGTCGCTTGTTTACGTGTCCTGATGACGTATTGAGGAGGTCCTTGGCTACCGTTACTGTGTACGGTGTAAAAACCTTGAATACTGATACAGGTGTGGCGTATCACATCCTGATGGGAGGCAAGGCATCAATGAACCTCACACGGGGTAAATATCGTTTTTGCTTTGGTTATTGGTGCCGGTATTGGATCTTTATCAATATGTTAAGTCACTGGTGCAGTAAGTGCCTCATGTCATTTCATATTTTCTTCTCAAAAGACGTGTTTTGCAGCTTATAAGAGGTTCTTCTGGTAAAAGGTCTTCAGGATATGACGGAGAGGAAATACTGGTATATACGACAATTTCACATTAACGCAGTAATCCGCCCATGTGCTCATGCACAAAGTACAGTTGTTGACAAATGTGACACGATATAACATATTTTCCTATTTCCTATCAAAACAGATAATTTGGAATTGTATTGAATTGAGGAAATATTTTGTTCCATATTCAAGTAGTATGAATGGATACAGTTTGTAATTAACACTTTGGCCGATCATCTTGGAGTGAAAGCAAATGCTATCTAGTAGCTATTCATTCTGAATAAATCTGCCGGAAAATCCATCGTCGAGTTTTTAGCTGTTCTGTTTTAGTATAATTATTGAAGAACAGGTAGAATTATAAATGATTTAATTTTAATATCAAACAGGTGCTACAATCGACTACATAATGATAGCTATGCGACCTCTCACAACATACCTAGATCTACTAACGGATGCTCCAAATAAGGTTAATATCTTGCTCGCAACATCAAATTTGATCTAATTCTAATACATTAAACGGCTTGATTTCTTTTCAAATCAATGGTTTTTCTTAGACAATGATTAAAGACCAAGGTAATATTTTGTATTAGGGCCTTACATTGTATATGATATGATCAAATCTCATTCTACTATAAAGTATACACAATTTTACATATCCCACCCTAATGAGTAAAAAGGGTTATGTAAAAACGAATGAGACACATAAATGAAGAAATTATCCTACTACATTAGTCAGGTAAAATGTCGATGACGTTGTAATTAAATTTCATCTGTCCTATCTTTACCGTGTATACTCGTCTTTACAGGTAGCGTATCATGTGGACGCGGTCTGTATCGGCCCGATGCGGTACATGTTGACAGACCTTCATCACAGGGGCGAGCACACGGACACCTTTATTATCACCCTCTATCAGGTCCACCCTCCATCTGCGTGTATTATGTTCTACTATGGTTCAGAAACAGAGTATGAGATCCCCCTCTGCCTCAAACCCGTCTCAGAGTATAAACTACAGCTCTTCAGAGTCAACACGAGACACGTCACAGATGACGTGTACAAGTTTATTGGAAATTCACACTCAACCGTAACGGCGTTTAATACATGTAAGTGTATAAAGATCAGTTAATGCTATGATTGTCTTTACATGTATCGCACAATTTGCACTGTAGCACATATAATTTGAAACAACATTGCATAATAGTCTAAATATATGTGGAGCGATTGATGTCACTAGAGGCCGTTTTATTAGTGGTGACCGTAATATGTTTTCTCTATTAGTGCTGATTTTAAACTTCGATATTCTCTTTCAGTGTTGGTCGGAGATATGAAAGCTTTTATTGATACTAGCCTATGTATATTTTAGTCTCAGCGTTGGCTTTAATATAAAGGCTTTAGTAATGGTTTCAATCAATTATATTTTATATCACTGCTTGCTGTCTTCCACATTTGCAGGTTCATTCAATTGTTTTATGCTTCCCGGTAATGTGTACATGTATATACTTCAGATATGACGCAAGCTGAGGTGGTGGAACTCTACAATAAGGCTGTACATTTTGTGTCCAGACGACCGCCCTATTCTAGTTACCTTTCTCATTTCTATCGCAATAAGTCTGAAGAGTACTTTAACAATATTATGAGAACAGATGGTGTGATGCACAAGTACGACAAGAACTGGGGAGGAGATCAGGCCTCCACACTCAACAAACAAGTACAGGGTCTGTTCTTCAGCGCAGTCGTGGACCAGGTGACACGTTTACTTCCTGACTTTTCCTTTTTTGGGCCACGAAGGTTACATGTACCGACATACCTCCTTTTGAACAACAACATGAACATGTATTTCTCTGACTTCTACTGTCACCGTGTCAATCATAAGGTCCAATTTGTCCTTACGGTCAAGGGCAGCCCGACTGACCACTTCTGTAGAAAACGACTCGTGCTGGTTGACCAGACCAACAACCCGTTTCTCACGAGAGTGAGATGCGGTTTCACAGAAATCGTCCGAGTGACAATGAACGTTACAGTGGAAGTATTCTACACCGAGGACGTACCAGCCAAGGCATGGATGTGTCACGATAATGTGTTCTTTACCACAACGAAACAGATGGGAAACGCTTTGGACATGGTAAACGGTATTCCAAAAAATATAAAATGTCAAATATGTAATCTTGACTGCTTCCTTCTCGCTGAGACTTTGAAAGCATGATGTAGAAACAGAAAGTGAAAATCGTTTTGGCAGACACTACATTTCTTTGACATTCATTAGATCATTTTAATGCAAAATGTATAGGTATTAGAGACCCGAATGCGTATTCTTACTATACACAATATGCATTATATTTGTAAGATTTAGGGTTTAATGCTTCCGACTGTTTCATTTGAGACTAGGTTGTTAGTCAATAACGTCATAAAATAAGACTCCATGGTGTAGTAATATATCGTCTATCGTCATAATAAAAATTCAAGCAAATGTTTAAGCAAGACTATTTTAAAACTCATTAGATTTAGATGATTGGAATCATGAAATAAGGCAAACATATCCACATACGGTAAGGGTTGGTACATATTTTATTTTTGTCCTTAATATGATCAACTCAAGCTTATAACACTAAGGTTTGTTAGTTGTGTGTGAATAAGATAAACAAATCTACCATTACATAACCAAGGATAAAAGATGACCTCTTACCATGGAAAGGAAACAACACTGAATTATATTTTAGCAGCACGTTATCTAAACAATCAGACACTGTATCTATTGTTTTAGGTTTAGAATAACAACGGCAGATGTGATGTGTATGTAAGAAGGCGTTTATTAACTACTAAGGTAGACTTACTTTTTCCGCGAAGATGTGGGTGTTTGCAGCATGATTGGGAATGAGGACTCTATAAGCTTTTAGAATGTGAACAAACTGATATAAACGTATTTCATATATGTATTTGTTACACCTCAAGTGAAGTTCTAGCTATTTAATTGGTTGGGAGAAAATTAAACAAAAATCTCACCCTCCGAATATACATTGGTTTTAAGGGGCGCGGGTGATATTGCCATGAGACAGATAAAAATATCACATGCGCGAAAAATGTTCCCTCCGGGTTCTTCACAGTGGCCATTTTTCACCGCTTCGTTTCCCCTCCGTGATGGTCACAAGAACGTTTGACGGCAACAGCCAATTTTATCAACAAACAAGATGTCATTATCGAGGTTTGCTGCCGTTTCTGAGCTACATATGGATGTGTAGAATTCTTTTTTTTCAGATAAATATTTATTTAAATACTTTTGGTGTAACAAAATAGATATGACATTCATTAGCAGGTGACAGTGAGTATTGTCAACCCTCAAAAACCCATTGTCACTCTCGGCTTCGCCTCGGGTGACAATGGATTTCTCGGGTTGACAATATTCACTGTCACCTGCTAATGAATGTCATATTTATATAATGTATACTTATATATCACAATTGATATCTGTTTTTCCCTTAATGTCATAGACACTAACTCAATTTGATAATTGTTTTCTTTTGCAAATGTAAATTTATATTTTTTAACATTGTTTTTGTTCGAATTACTGTATATTGAATTCATTTGTTTGTTTTAATTACATCATTAACAGTTTCTCGAAAAAATGAGAACAACTACTTGTATTTGCACATGAATTCGTCGAGTAAACAAGGTTAATGGTTCGTGTCTGAAAATAACTCCAATGGGCTGTAAAACTGACGGTGTTAGGAATCATGTAAAATTGTAGGCTATGGAGTGAGTATCCATGAAAACTGCAAGTGTTCTTTCAAGTGGATCTCAATTAACAGTATATGTTATTTTGCACATTCGCATTGGTAGGGAAACTAACAGTCATAAGGATTTTTATTATTCAAGCAAGCATTACTATGAGAAGATAACTCAGATAAAAAGCTGTTGAGATGCCATCAGAAAGTATTATACTCTTTAAAATATTTGACCAGGAGACAATTAGATAAATGTTTGATTTGATTACCACTAAGAAAATAGCCTAAGAGAACACCCTGTAATTGAAGTTGTAATTTACCTCAGGATCTGATGATACCGTCCATGATGTCACCTTGATTTATTATAAGACATATATAAAATTTAACTAATACCAAATTACACGCGTTTCGCTACTTTTTATTTGTAAAAACTCTTAACTATTAGAGGGCGTAGTCTGAATGATTTTTCTCATAATGTTTCTCTGATTTTATTGTATTTTAATTCTTATGTTAACCCCAGTAAGGGTTATTACATTGCACCTATAATAAACAAATCCCTCAATGTCAACACATCAGGACAATAACAGAGTCGTTGGAGGGATACTAATACATAAGACAATAACAGAGTTGTTGGAGGGATACTAATATATAAGACAATAACAGAATCGTTGGAGGGATACTTATACATAAGACAATAACAGAGATGTTGGAGGGATAATACTGATACATAAGACAATAACAGAGTCGTTGGAGGGATTCTAATACATAAGACAATAACAGAGTCGTTGGGGGGATACTAATACATAAGACAATAACAGAATCGTTGGAGGGATACTTGTACATAAGACAATAACAGAGATGTTGGAGGGATACTAATATATAAGACAATAACAGAATCGTTGGAGGGATACTTGTACATAAGACAATAACAGAGATGTTGGAGGGATACTAATATATAAGACAATAACAGAATCGTTGGAGGGATACAAATACATAAGACAATAACAGAATCGTTGGATGGGTACTCATACATCAGACAATAACAGAATCGTTGGAGGGATACTAAGGAGGGATACCAATACATAAGACAATAACAGAATCGTTAGAGGGATACTAATACATAAGACAATAACAGAGTCGTTGCAGGGATACTAATACATAAGACAATAACAGAGTCGTTGCAGGGATACTAATACATAAGACAATAACAGAGTTGTTGGAGGGATACTAATATATAAGACAATAACAGAATCGTTGGAGGGATACTAAGGAGGGATACCAATACATAAGACAATAACAGAATCGTTGGAGGGAGACTAATACATAAGACAATAACAGAATCGTTGGAGGGAGACTAATACATAAGACAATAACAGAGATGTGGGAGGGATACTAATACATAAGACAATAACAGAATCGTTGGAGGGATACTTATACATAAGACAATAACAGAGATATGGAGGGATACCAATACATAAGACAATAACAGAATCGTTGGAGGAATACTAATACATAAGACAATAACAGAATCGTTGGAGGGAGACTAATACATAAGACAATAACAGAATCGTTGGAGGGATACTAATACACAAGACAATAACAGAGTCGTTGGAGGGATACTAATTCATAAGACAATAACAGAATCGTTGGAGGGATACTAATATATAAGACAATAACAGAATCGTTGGAGGGATACAAATACATAAGACAATAACAGAATCGTTGGAGGGGTACTAATACATAAGACAATAACAGAATCGTTGGAGGGATCCCAATACATAAGACAATAACAGAGAAGTTGGAGGGATACTAATACATAAGACAATAAAAGAATCGTTGGAGGGATACTAATACATAAGAAAAAACAGAATCGTTGGAGGGATACTAATACATAAGTCAATAACAGAATCGTTGGAGGGATACTAATATATAAGACAATAACAGAATCGTTGGAGGGATACTTATACATAAGACAATAACAGAGATATGGAGGGATACCAATACATAAGACAATAACAGAGTCGTTGGATGGGTACTAATACATAAGACAATAACAGAATCGTTGGAGGGAGACTAATACACAAGACAATAACAGAGTCGTTGGAGGGATACTAACACATAAGACATTAACAGAGTCGTTGGAGGGATACTAATACATTAGACAATAACAGAGTCGTTGGAGGGATACTAATACATTAGACAATAACAGAGTCGTTGGAGGGATACTAATTCATAAGACAATAACAGAATCGTTGGAGGGATCCCAATACATAAGACAATAACAGAGAAGTTGGAGGGATACTAATACATAAGACAATAAGAGAGTCGTTGGAGGGATACTAATACATAAGACATTAACAGAATCGTTGGAGGGATACTAATACATAAGAAAAAACAGAATCGTTGGAGGGATACTAATACATAAGTCAATAACAGAATCGTTGGAGGGATACTAATATATAAGACAATAACAGAATCGTTGGAGGGATACAAATACATAAGACAATAACAGAGATGTTGGAGGAATACTAATACATAAGACAATAACAGAATCGTTGGATGGGTACTAATACATCAGACAATAACAGAATCGTTGGAGGGATACTAAGGAGGGATACCAATACATAAGACAATAACAGAATCGTTGGAGGGAGACTAATACATAAGACAATAACAGAATCGTTGGATGGGTCCTAATACATCAGACAATAACAGAATCGTTGGAGGGATACTAATAGATACTAATACATAAGACAATAACAGAATCGTTGGAGGGATACTTATACATAAGACAATAACAGAGATGTTGGAGGGATACTTATACATAAGACATTAACAGAGTCGTTGGAGGGATACTAATACATAAGACAATAACAGAGATGTTGGAGGGATACTAATACATAAGACAATAACAGAATCGTTTGAGGGATACTAATACACAAGACACTAACAGAATCGTTGGAGGGATACTAATACATAAGAAAAAACAGAATCGTTGGAGGGATACTAATACATAAGACAATAACAGAATCGTTGGAGGGATACTAATACATAAGACAATAACAGAGTCGTTGGAGGGATACTAATACATAAGACATTAACAGAGTCGTTGGAGGGATACTAATACATAAGACAATAAAAGAATCGTTGGATGGGTACTAATACATAAGACAATAACAGAATCGTTGGAGGGATACCAATACATAAGACAATAACATAGATGTTGGAGGGATACTAATACATAAGACAATAACAGAATCGTTTGAGGGATACTAATACAAAAGACACTAACAGAATCGTTGGAGGGATACTAATACAAAAGAAAAAACAGAATCGTTGGAGGGATACTAATACATAAGACAATAACAGAGGCGTTGGAGGGATACTAATACATAAGACAATAACAGAATCGTTGGAGGGATACTAATACATAAGACAATAACAGAATCGTTGGAGGGATACTAATACATAAGACAATAACAGAATCGTTGGAGGGATACTAATACATAAGACAATAACAGAATCGTTGGATGGATACTAATACATAAGACAATAACAGAATCGTTGGAGGGATACTAATACATAAGACAATAACAGAATCGTTGGAGGGATACTAATACATAAGACGATAACAGAATCGTTGGAGGGATACTAATAATAAGACAATAACAGAATCGTTGGAGGTATACTAATAATAATAAAAAATGAGACACATCATAAATCCTAACAATTGGAGGCAAAACATTGACATTCGGATGGTACGTGTTTTTCATATATCACATGTGTACCCGTAATGTGTGTTTACCTCGTATACATGGTGTTCATTTCGCAGCTAAATGGTACCTCCTCTCATGTATATTTAATATACTTGTATCTTATTTAGATTTATGATATATCAAATGTTTATATCTAAGTTCAGAATTTACATGTATGAATTCTATGAAATTTCTTCAACAGATTATATTTTGCATTAAAACGTGTTAATGTTGGACAAAAATGTCACACTTAACAAAACCATTTACATATGTTCTAAATGACTTTCTTAAAAATCATTGTTCATGCAAGAACGAAAATGTGATTGTGTCAAAAGTGTGCAGGAATCAGAAACATTATTATTTGGTGACATGTTCTAATGACAACAAAACTACTACTAAACAGTAGTTTTTTCTGGTAATATTTGTTAAGATTAAGGACGATATCAGTTCATCAAGCTGATAAAGGATTTTGCTACGTGACTCTTTATATTGCATCTTTTGCAGTACTTAGTTATCCTCGTAAATTTACTAAACGTAACAAGTAACGACTATTTGACTGGTCACGTGATTAACTGGTGGTTGCTAGCTTCGACTATTGACTTGCCACTTTTGATGTTATCGAATGCACATAATACCAAACATAATGATGACTATGATAAGGAATACAGGGTGATCCTCAGCTCCCACAACCGCTAGGTGAAATTGATGGATAGATTTGAAGGGACAATATTGCTAACTTTTTTCAATTTAGCGTGCCTCTGGCGTAAGTATTACTAATGAAAAGTGTAGCTGTAAAATTACTTTGATTAGAATGTTTTTGATTGATATATTATCCAAGTAATAATACATTGAGGGGTCGGATGGCGATTGCGTAGATGATTCGATCCCCCACCCCCGACCACCGAAGGGAGCTCGACACGTCGTCCCCTTCCATTTATTTGGCCTCAAACGATGATGAATACCACACACATTATTTTAACAGAAAAGATATATTTTGTTGGTTCGTTCTATCTTTATCTCATGATTCGTCCTTTTTAAATCATAACTTATCGAAGTGAATTTAATTACTGTAAAATATGGCAGAGTAAAAGTTTCTTAACAGCTAGATATTAAATCTTAACTGTATGCGTATACGTATACCTGTTATCATACATACACTATTAAGATTATTTCCGGTAAGGAAACTACAATTCCTGGTATACATGACGTTTCATTATCCAATATACCCACAGTATCACATACTAACCTTATTCATTATACAATAACAATGTACCGGGACCCCAATGCATCTGAGCAGGTTATCCCATACCTGTTTACCCAACAATTCATTACAATGTAGTACTCTTATCTTACAAAGTAGTCAGTAGTCATCATTGAGTTGTAACCAACAGAACTTCATGCAAGTCATTTAATCAGTTAGTATTAAATACTTATATGCCAGTAAATACATTTCTCACCTCAACCCATTGTTGTCATACACGTTACATCGTCCGATTCAAGTGCTGCTAACATCAACTGCTAACATCAACAACCCTCTTACCTACATCAATAGCGACCACCAATCACGAAGAAAAGTTGACTGGCAGGCGTGTGTTTGCTGTCAATAGATGAAATGTATTGAAAATAGTTCAGATTTACAGTTGTATTTTGATGAAGATAATATGTTGGCCGTTGTCAGCAGTTAAGAACACTTCAACTGAATTTAACAACCTATCGGCCTTAAATTTAAGAGTGAGTATCTGAATGAAGTCAATGGAGTGACAAAGGCATTTATTGATATATGTATATACATGTAAGTCTCTGACATACATATACCTGTCAAACTGTAATACAACCCTAACGTTTAAAGAGCAACAGATGTCAGACAATGAACAGTGGACTAATCAGTATTCTGATATCTGTTATTTGGTCCTTTTATCGGACTATATACACATTTATAAAACAAATGTAACAAACCCGGATGTGCTTGACTGGGAAAACAAAGCACATCATGATTGCAGTGTGAACACATGTGCTTATCCTTGAAAGATAAGTGCACCTCCGGAAGTTTTGTTAACAAATTATCGCGTTGAAGATTCGGTATGACAGTGAGGTGAGTTCTATATTCTTTAATCATAAACGTTTATGAATCCACTGTTAGAATTTACGCATAAACAATACATTTCTCTATGTTTCATAACACTATGGACACTCCTTGACCTATAAACTATTATATATCCTTGATACAATATACAAGCATCGAGGATGCATTACGACATGAACTACCACTACATACCCGACAGTATCCACACGCTTGTATAAGCAGTAATATCTTTGAGTAAGCGATGATTATTTTCCTAAATGAATCAAAGTCTCCAATTTTTAACATCAAGGTAGTGTATGAGACACATACAAAAGGGGCCATAACTCTCAAGACATTTTTTCTAAATTGAAGCCAAACGAAAGGGCACATGATACTGTAATAGGGAACTAGTATGTTAAGTTTTAGAGAAACCAATTCAGTTGATTTTGACACAATAATTCGAACAGACAGTCAGACGACTGGACGGGTTTATACCCCATCTCCGAAAAAAACTCCAGAAAAAAACCCTTCGTTTTGGCGGATATGACCTAGTTCTTTCTGTAAGCATGTAACGTAATAGCGTTTGCAGGCAGATACTAAGTAATAAGACACAGTGTACTTTGTCATCGTACAAGCTTATTTTGACTTATGATTATGTATCAGTGTTAAATATACTTATACAGAGAGACAGTGAATATATCAAATATACCTTTCTCTCATAAAGAAAGTAAACTTTCTTTCTAATATTTTAAAATGTAACTCGGCAGTATTCTTTTCCAGTAGTGTGCTATTCTTTATTTATGCTTTGGTTTATGAAATTGTATTTCTTTTTTGTCGACAACTATAAAGTAACAACATGTGTCACAGTTAAAAGAGGTCAATTAAAGCAAAGGAATTGCCAAATAGTGTGAGAATCTGTCTTAAATTGTTTCAAATCACATCAGAGACATATAATGCACATAAACTGCCCTTTACGAAAATTTACCTAACATGACAATAGGATAAAGTTATTCTAAATATATTATCTTTCTTCAGTAATTATGTTTGTGTACACTAATAAACTCATGTATTCTCTTTTATGTATTTATCAACCTTTTTATGCAACCACTCCATATTTCTTGCAGCAATTTGTTTTTTCCTAAAACAATTAGGCTTGCTTAATAAACCAGGAAGTCCTAACTGAAACATTTCGCAGCGACAAAACTACCATGGTGGTACTGTATTGAATAACCGCTTTATCTCTTGCTTTTATACCTTTCTCATTTTGGGGTAGACCTAGCACGGAGCGTGGAGACAGAGACCTGCACAAGCAATTACAGGGGTCATTTAAAAAATCTCTTTATGGAACGTAGCGTATAGGATATGTCTGAGTGTGTAGACGCAAATGTGTGACTACAGGTAAGCGAACAGGTAAGAAGTTATGTTACCGGTAACTATAGTCGTTAAAGTCTTTTTCGAGACTCAATGCGACAGGTACAGTTGTATGTGACCGTGGTAATTGATTTTTCAATATCTCCGTTAAGGATCTCTCCCGGGACGTCTGTTGTATTTTTCTGACGCCGATTGAGTTGAAAGAAATTCCCCGAGCAAAAAATAATCAGTTGGAAGAAGTTTGTATTTTACCAGAGTGACAGGGATCACATATACATTTCTGGATTTAATTTACAATTCACAAACTTCTTAGGACACGATATTTCCATATTACGAAAGAAATGTTTAACGCTTACACAGTGTCGTTAAGCTAAAGGTACTTGTTTAACACATTTTCGTCTCTTCGTTCCTTTGCATTTTTGTATAGAGGTGGTTGGACAAAAGGACGTTTATAAGCATCCCTTCGTGGCAAAGTAACGTGTATGAATGTTCCTTCGCAACAGTAATATGATGGCGACGAAGCGACCTTTATTAATCTGTCATCTGTTTAAACACTAGATAAGCTACACTATTAGCCATAAAAGGGGTGGTTTTCTGTATTGACATATGTTCTTCTTTATTCTCCTGAAAACACCCAGAAGAAAGGTAGAAATCTATTCAGTTTTCTGCTATTTTAGAGTAAGTTTTAAATTGACAGCTTTCATTGAATATTTAAATATGGGGGGTGGGGTTGGAGGGGGGAGGGGGGCAAAGACTGTTAGAAGACTGTTCTAGGGATCATTACAGGGGAGTGCATTTTCGGATTTCTATACTACTGCGATCAACTCTAGCATGAACCGATGCTTTGTTTTCAGTATAAACAACTAACCCAATTAGGCATCGTTTTTTTTTGTTCCACTACTGGATCTAACTGAAATTCTTGAGAGAGTGAGAGGTCTGAAGCTCACGCTCGTTTGTACACAGTAATGACTGTGCGCGTTAGCGATCACGTCTATCGAGGCACCCTAAATAAACTTAAAAACTTTCGTATATTGTAGATGGCTTTGGAAATGAAACAATGGGAACATGGGACTGATTCCGATGATGACCAAGACGAGGTAAGTCAGATAAAGTATCGCACAAATCGCCGTGGAAAGTTATGTCCTTTTACCTTCTGAAACTAAAGCAGTGTGCTTATATATCACTTTAACTGATATCGCGTTTGTTAAATTAGAAAATAATCAAGATTCTATATTAAAATCTTATTTAAGGACTAAATTTGGTAAAAATGTGTCCCCCAACCTCCTTTGTAATCGAGAGTAGTGTCTTCAATATTCCCCTGTGTGAGTGACATTAAAGAAACCAAGAGTACACCTGCTGTGTCCCCCTGAAAGTGTATCGTAAAGGGCGACTAATGTAGCCCCCTGAAAGTGTATCGTAAAGGGCGACTAATGTAGCCCCCTGAAAGTGTATCGTAAAGGGCGACTAATGTAGCCCCCTGAATGTGTATCGTAAAGGGCGACTAATGTATCCCCCTGCATAACGGGGGATTTTGTCTGTGTCTTCTACGAAGACAACATGGAAGAGATCACAAGTGATCATGTGTCTCTTTTGTTTCTTATCTTTCCTGTAATATTTAAAACTATCTACTTTTTTTGTCCACTTGTTTTTATATCACCCTGACGTGCCTTCATGTGTGATGTTTGCATGCATGTGTATGTGTGCCAGATTATTCCGCCTTTACACAGACAACAGATGAACTAGATGTCATAGTCATCCGTGCTGAAAGTTAAGGGGAACAGTCTGTCAGAACTCATGCGACCGCAGGTTAATGGCTAGTGGGTTCCCATTGTCCATTCTCAGGTAGAAATCATATCGAATAGAAAAATATATCGGTCAACTGTTGGTAACGTTGCCCCAGTAACCATCCTGAAATCTGTAAAGTTGTACCTGTCCGATTTAAATTACAGGTTCCTGTGAAACTTTATTTATTTAGTTGATTATTTATAAGTAAATCGATCAACCTATTTCATGTATGTTCATGTACACTTACTTGTATATAACTTACCGGTGCATGTACACAACCATGAAGTGTCATAATTTAACAAAGGGCAGTTATCATTGTTACCCCCTGGCCAGCGACATAGTTGCTATTTGTAACTGGACCATTTGTAGCTGTTGGTTTGCAAATTTGGTGTGGTTTTATATTGTTTAACGTCCTACAAACAGCCAAAGGTCATTTAAGGACTCGCCTTCATGCTGGAGACAGGGTAAGTTAGTTTAATTGCCTCCTTGTGATACCGCGAACCTGATTGTTTCATTTCAACAAATTTTATTGACAGATGTAATAGTCAAATGGATTGAATAACAGGCAGGCCTATACAAATTCTGTCCATGAGTGGCTCAAAATTTGATCGAATATATATACAATGTAGTTACAACACTAATGATTAGTTAACTTAAGGATACTTTGTAAAGAAAAGGTATATATATATATATGTATAAAGAGTAATACTAATTAAAGAATCAGGGAGATAACTCCGACATGATAAACACAAGGGGGATGAACTCATAGGACATCACAATAACAATACACAAACAACTCACAATCATACACCCAACACACATGATAAACACAAGGGGAATGAACTCATAGGACATCACAATAACAATACACAAACAACTCACAATCATACATCCAACACCCATACAATTATTTTCTTACTAAATAAAGCATAGTCACAGTCAGTATATGTACAGTAAGAGTAGACTTTGACCAAAAGTCCATGTGCATGTATGTGCACAGGTCATTGCTACTAATACTGTTTATGAGTAAATAGGTACAAATTTAAATAATGTGACAGAAAGGCAATATATTATTATGTTTATTATATTGAACAGAAAATGAACAAAATATAACAAACCTACTCAACTGTAATCTCATTAATTAACTTTGTACTTTGTTATTAGATTAACAATTCAGATTAAAATAAGACAGATATATATATTTGATTTACTATATTTCAATATAATGCATCATGGTTCTCTACGTAATATAAAAATTAAAACGCCTAGTTTTTCCAATAAATATCTGAATGTGACTTAGCATATGTCTGTTTATATTCAGATCACATGTAGGACAACTTTGAAAAAATATATTTAAATTCATATGGTTATGAATACTAGTATTATTCAAAGAAGTAAACAAAACAAAGTATTTCGTTGGACAGTTATACAGTGGACAATTGAAGAAATAATGAGAGACTGTTTCGTTTTATAGTATTATTGAATATTCGTATTCAAAAGAACAAGCACAAGTTGGACTATTTATTAAATGGCCATGATATAAATCAGAATTTAAATTACTTCAGGAATTTCTTAATTGGCAAAGAATAATATTTACCCTTCTTTCACCATCGTTTTTAAAAATTGTAGTTACTTCTTTGTCATTAACTTTATCTTTATTTTGTATTTTTTTAAACAGAGCAAGAGATATCAGTTTCCATAGTGTTTACATTGCGGCACATAAAGGGGGAAAAACTGTCAAAATAGTTATTAGTTCTACACATAGGTGGGTTAAAAAGTCTGGTTTGTCTGAGAGAGAAGGGATTGTTATTATGATTGTTAACGAAAGGATTTGTGACATCTTGTAAGTATTGAGGTGAGAGTCCATGCATTATTTTATACATCATTATTTGTTTATGTTTATACCTTCTTGCAGACAGTGTTTTCCAACCAAGTTCATTATAGAGTTTATTGTGTGATGTCCCTGAACGAAGACCAGTTATAATCCTAGCTGCTTCTAGTTGTACAGATCAATAATGTGCAGTTATCCCATACAATGTCTGCATACTCCAAAATTGGTCTAATAACTGCAATATATATTTTAATTAATGATTTACGACCTACCTTAGATTTGATATAACGAAGAATATTTAATCTGTTGTATGTTTTTTCATATATAATCTGTATGTGCTGTTTCCATGATGCGTCGTCTGTAAAAGTTAGTCCTAAATGTTTATGTGTTTTTGAATCAGTGATTTGATTGTTTTGGAAGGATATTGGGGGCTGTATGTGGTTATGTTTTCAAGAAAATACAACTGACTTAGTTTTATTTGGGTTACAATTTATATCCCATATATGTGCCCACTCACTAATGTTTACAAGGTCATTCGAAATATCCGGGGCAGCCTGAACTGGATTTTTGTCTACGATTACATACAGAGAAGTGTCATCTGCAAAAAGTTTAATATTAGTAGAAACATTGTCAGTAATATCATTAATATAAAGAAGAAACAGGAGTGGTCCCATAATAGTTTGTTTTGGTTTTGGTTTGGTTTTATTTTGTTTAACGTCCTATAAACAGCTAAAGTCATTTAAGGACGGCCTCCCCTGTGTGCAAGATTCATGCTTGTAGTGTATGAGGTACACCTGTATTGATAGTCCTAAACTGAGAGTGATATCCTTCAGTGCTAACTCTTTGCATTCTGTCTGTTAAATAATTTCCAAACCAGAGAAGCAAAGGGCCTGTTGCCAGTAATGTTAATTCTCCATAGGAGCCTGCCCCCGTATAATTTCTTATCTAGCTCAACTACTGTTTTTTTCTTTTCCGAAGAATAATTTTACACATTTCCGACACCCAGATTTCATAATTTTAGTGAAAATGTATTTTTATAAAGTTGTCAATTTCAGCATCAAAGACATAAGTTCGTAAATAAAAGAAGGTTATCTCGAAATTGTAATTCGCAACATAGTATAAATTTCTTTTGATAAATATTTCCAAAACATCGTGTTTATTCATAAAATATAAAAAAAAATTCTCGGATGAAAATGCACTTGCAGAGACACAATTATGAAGAAAAATGCCATAAAATTGCAATTTTCTCCCGTTATATAGTTTTGGATGCAAATTTCCATCAGAAAAATCGANTCCTCGAAATCCACTCGCACTGTTCCCCATATCTTTCATCTGGTATATATACCAAGACTACACACGATGCTCTATTACTGTTCTGGGTAAAACTGAAAACCGACATTTCCTGGAGTCAGTGTTCTTCTCTTTTTGGAATTTCCAAGTCAAGTGTGTCCAAAACTTTCCACTCCATAGTACAGGCATTAGACACATCGATAGTCCCACAATTTCTAGGTCCGGATCACTTGACAAGAGAACAGTTGCTCGGGCACAATACTGTCTTTTCAGAAGCATTTTTTGGAGATAAAGCCACTGCCATATTAGATGGCACCTATATTTATATCCAGAAAAGCTCCGACCACAAGCTCCAGAGAATGTCCTACTGTGGCCAGAAGAAGAGAAACTATCTCAAATTCATGAGCATCGCCTTACCAGATGGCTACATTCTGGACACAGTAGGACCATTCACTGGCAGCGAAAATGATGCTACAATTACAAAAAAAGTCATGGACAAGCTAGTTACTTGGCTACAACCAGACGACAACGTTGTCGTTGACCGAGGTTTTAGAGATGTCCTACCAGTTCTCGAAGCCTCTGGCCTCAATGCTAGCATGCCGTCATACCTGAAACCCGGTCAAAGTCAACATTCTGACGTCCAAGCAAATCTTGACAGAACTATCACCAAATCGAGGTGGATTGTGGAATCCTATCATGGTCGTCTGAAACACTGGACGTTCTTCCGAACGCAATTGGTGTCTAACAGCTTTATCAATGTCATCGAGGCTTTGCTTCGAACCGTCACAGCCTGTCTGAATGGTATTAGAGGACCGATCTACCAGAGATCTCCAGAGAGAGATGCCAAAGATAGGCTAATGGCTGAACGTATGAAGGACCGTTTGACAACACCGAATGGTTTAGCTCAGAGAGTCAAGACAGATCCGGATCTATCTAGACGGGCAAGGTCCGAGTTTGTCAAGATGGATGCATCTTCCGTACTGTTTCCCCGTCTCGATCTTGATTACTTGAGAACCATTACGTGTGGAACGTATCAGATATCTCTGGCTCCTGGTTACATCGCCGAACATTTAAGTGATGACGGAGACTATGAGGTGTGGCTTTACCAGCACTCCCCAGACCTTCTCCGATGTCAAATACATTCTCGACACAAAAGCCAAACGAAATATAACGTTTGGATACGGTTCACCGTTTCACCCGATGTTGAGGCCCCAATAAAGGACTACTACTGCCAGTGCCCAGTTGGAGAGAGAACGATGGGAATGTGTGCGCACATCTCCAGTATCTTGTACTACCTTGGGTATTACAGGACGCTGGAAAACCCTCGACCATTACAACCACAGGTAAAGAAATTCCGACAAAACTTGAAATAGTTTTCCATGCGGCAACGGAGTGCATATGTCGAAAGTATGTTTGGGGCTCGATATGAAAGATCCCCGTTACCATGTGACTAACCAAACTTATAAATATAGGTATTATACAATCGCCCGTAGCTATGAACACTCCCGTAAATGCGAAAACCAACCAAAATCATAAGGAACACGTTTTGTTTGTTGTTCTGTCTATTTGTCAGCCAATGTCTTCAACCACGGGGACTTGTGAAGTAGCCATCTTGGATTTTTTTTATGAAAAAGTGTTTCTCTCACTTTTTTTCATATCTGTGTACATATTCTCAACATACCGAGCAAATACTCTCGTTTTTTTGTTAATTATCTAAAGAAAGTCGAAAATCGGCAATTCAACCATAGGCTAATTCAACCCAACATTTGAAAATGTTCCACCACTTACATTTTGATGATTTTTCCTCTCATCAATAGCATATTACGTACTGTTTAATAGGATAAAAATTGGTTTGCATCCAACGCCCATAAAAGGGTGTATTCTCTAAAAAACACAGTTTTTGTGTCTAAAATGTTATCATCGAAAATGGCATTTTTGAGATTGTTTCTTCCATAAAACAGCCAAATGGCGCGATGGAAACATGATTTTTTGTCACAATCATGCCATGAATGTATTCTTTACGGTGACCATCATTTGATTAGATTTTCATTAATATTTTACATAACATGCACATTTTATCAACACTTAGACAGCTTCTGAAAGGTACAACTTTGAGGAGCCATAAAAAACAAACCAAGTGACCTAAATCTTTATACTGTATAGATTTGTGACCACAACGGCATGGGCAATGCACCACCAACAGGAAATTTGAATCAGAGAAGGGGCCGTTTTCGAAACCGGCCCTTTACACCAATACCATATGTCCTAAGTTTATGAATTAGACCTTTATGCCAAACCCTTTCAAATGCTTTGCTAATATCACAGAACATAAATCTAAGTTCCTTTCCCTGGTCAATATTACTAACAATGTCATTATATATAAACAAGAGTTGGTTAACTGTTGAATCGACAGGTGTAAATCCAGATTGGTGCTTAGTGATTATAGAGTTCTCCGATAGGTAGTTATAAAGATATTTAAACACAATTCTTTCCATTATTTTACTAAGGCATGAAGTTACTGAAATAGGTCTGTAGTTTGAAACATCATTAGATGATCCATTCCCCTTATAAACTGCATTTATATTTGCTTGTTTCCAGCTATTGGGAACCACTCCTGTTTTTAGTGTTTTATTAAATTAGATCATGAGGGGTAATTTAAGAGAGGAATTCAATCTTTAAATAATTTTGGGAACAATTTCATCAGGTCCAGGGGGTTCATTCATATTAAGAATATTCATTTGGTAAGCAACATCTTATTCAGTAATATAAATATTAGATAGTGAATAAGGAATTGCTGGTTGTGCTGTCTGAGGTAGTTATAGGTCAGGTGAGGATGTGGAGATATTAATGAAGTGATTATTGAGGACCTCAGCTTTATCAATAGGATGGTGAACAGCGTGTTTATTAATTACTAGAGGAGGAATTGGAGAAGATTTATTGGTGAAGTTAGAGATAGATTTAGCAATTTTCCACCATTTATCTGGGGGAATCTTATTGTCATTTAAAGAGTTTTCTAGGGTTTTGATATATGTTTACTTAGCTTCATGGATGAGGTCAATGGCTTCATTCCTGTGAATCCGAAATATGTTCCAAAAGTGAGGACTATTTGTTAATTTGGCTTTTCTGTGAATTCTATTGCGTTTTCTCATCTTTAATCTTATGTTGTTGTTCATCCATGGTTTATCATTAGGACGAACTGTTATTACTTTGACAGGAATTAGGTCATTTACCTGATCCATGATTAAATCAGTTATGGTACTGTTAAATGCATTAGAGTCCTGGTTTGAAGATAGATTCACCCAGTCAACATCAAAAAGAGTGTTGTTCATACTTTCAAAATCACCTTCTTCATTTTTCAAAATACTTTTCTTATAACTTGTTTGTTTGAATACACTAAATAAAATTGATGCATGCACAGATCACTGCAGAAGGGTCGAGATGTATAAGTATTTCTAATTAATTTTCGATTGTTTGTAAAGATAACATCTAAGGAAGTGGCACTCTCCTGAGTTATACGTGTAGGTTCATTAATACGGCTAGATAAAGTACGCTTAGTAAGGAGTCTTGAAAGGGGATGATTAGGTAGAAGGGTTAATGTTGTAATTATGTGATTCATGACTTCCGGTCCGCATTCCGGATCCATTGTCTGTATTAGTTAATGCCTTGCAATGCATTATGTGTTATTCAATAAATACTGTTTTGACCTGAATCGTGTCTCCCTGACAAATGTTGTAGAACACAACAGTTAACATATCAATAGTAATGTCACCAATGAGTACCACATCCATTGAAGTATCAGTAGCTCTGGTCAAAGTATCATCCAGTTTGTTCCAGTAATCAACATTACTATCAGGTCTGTATATGCATCCTAGTAAAAGTTTGTGATTATCAGTTATTACTTTAACCAGATCAATTCAATATAACCCTTTCCTATTCAATTCGACTATTAATCCTGATAGTGTTTTTATAATAAACAATAATCCCACCGCCTGGACCTGTAGTTATATCTTTTCGGTGAGGAGAGGAAGTAAAAGAGTGCATGTTAATGTCAGTGTTAGATATTAAAGGATTTAGATGGGATTCTGTTAAACAAACAATATCAGAATTTTCTAGCTCTCTTCAATAAGGGGTATTTTGTTTCTAAGAGACCTCATTTTAAATGAACTAGATTTATGTTTTGTAGTGGACCAGAATTTATTTCTATGTCACAACACCGTATCATAATTATAAGATGCGATATAAGAATAAAAGATAAGTTATCGAATCTAGAAAACGAAATATAGCCGGAGAGCAACCTCGCGAATCAGATCCCGACTTAATAGTGATATCTCACTGACAAATCATGCCCAAGGCTCCCAGCACAGCATTTCACCCGATCACATTATACTGACAGCGGGTAAACCAGTTGTTTCCATTTTCCGAAACGCTAAACGTTAAGCAGGGAATAAGTCCCGCCCTGGGCACAAAAAAACCCCACTTGCCTTCCTTAACTAGGCGAACGCCCAATATTATCATCCAAAAGTGAGGCAGCCGCTAGGAAATTAAAGGTAGTTAGAATTAGAGGGATACACATACAGAGATCCCAAATATTGCCTTGGATATCAGCAGATTCATTTCAAACAAACCAAATTCTGCCGGTTTTCCCACATTAGTCGCCTTTTCTTTCTTCGATCCCTGATCTGCAGTGGTCTGTTCTACAAAGAAGTACACATTTTAGTCTTTTTTTTTCAATATACAGATTCAAAACACATTTTAGCGTTATATTTACCTTTTATTGATATATGGCCACGCTATAATATAAGACTTGTCTGGGATGGTATCTTGTCTAGATTTGTTTGTTTAGCATTTTGGCCGAGTAAAGCATCTATATTTTAGTACAAATTAGGAAGTATTGAAGCCATTGGTCCTTTATAAAACAAAGGAGCGAATTACTCTATGGATTGGGTGTTATTGAGAAACCTTTCATAAAGAAAGTATAATACAGAATTTACCAGATTAACCCATATCACATAACAATTTACAATCCCTAATCATGACACAAAAACATTAATGTGAAATCTGAAGCGAACTCAACTTTAATAAACTTTACTTTAAAATTTAACGAATATGTGGAATTTATATAAGCACCAGGGATAGTGTATACTTTCTCTTTCCTCATGGGTATGTTCAATTTCATTTAATTCTCCTTTTTAATTATAAACAATTATTGAAATATGTACTTCAGTCTTTTCAACACTTGTAAACACTGCAGTACCCTGGATTTAATAATGTTTTGAACTATGTTGTAGCACATAAGTGCACTAGAGTTAACCTTGTAGATAACTGGATTGCACTACAATGTTTTTCTAGTATACTTCCTTATTTACTACACGTGCACCAAGTACCAAGTTAAGTTTGCCAACTATAACAATATTCTAAATATAAACACATAATGTATTCGTTTGGTAAATTATCTCTCTTGCTTACTGTTCACAGATCAAGACTTCAGTTGTTTTGAGAAGCAATATAAGCAACGTACCGGTAGCTTTTCAAATAGACGTCAAGCGTAAAACAGGAGTTTGCTCAGATTGCCTGCTTTTACAAGTAACTAATTGTCAAAGTAATGTGATTTTCCAATCATTCCTTCGACATGGCTCTACATCACGACACCGATCATTTAATTGCCCTAGTGACATACTGAAGACACCATTGGTAACGGTAACTGTGTTCAGTGTACAAACCAAGGAGGTTAACAAACGTGTCTGGTATAAAGTGAAGAATGGAGGCAAGACCTTATCTAAACTAGTTGGAGGTACATTTTATTATTGGTATATTTTGGAAAAATGTGTTGAAAAAAATAGTTATTTATCAAAAGATGATTAAATGACGAATGTCGGTACAGTTACACGTCCTTTTCAACATTTGAATAACATACATGCAACAAACAACTAGATTCCTTTATAATTTTATCAGTATGTTCTGAGTTTCACGATATCGCAAAAAAGTTAATTCGATACAGCTAGTCAAATACAATTATACTTACCGCACTATGTAGCCAATTCAACCATAATAGGTTTTCTCAATTCTAACAATAGTCCCGTTTATGTAGATAATTTTGAACAGTGTTGTTCACAAAAATGTATGCTTAATGGTTATATAATTTGTAGTTGTAAACAAATGTAGCAATGATTTAAATAACACCATATGTAAATTGTATAACTTTAATTCTCATTTTGTAATTATTTTACATCATAATTTACACAAAGTAATAACTACCAACTTAATGAATGTTTTTTATTTTAAATGTTTTAACAGGTGTTACCATCAATTATATGGATATTACTCTACAACCTCTTGGCACATACCTTGATCTACTAGCAGCTGATACAAAACAGGTATAGCATGGCGTTTAAAAAAGTGCAGTCAAGTCCTTCTTGATAAATGTGTGATGTTTTGATTTGCCTACGGTGTAACATAAGTTTTCTTGTTTGTACGGGGTTTGATGTTCTCGTAACAGTTATTAGGGTGATGTCAGGACAGGTGCGTAGGGAGCCACCGCCGTAAATAACAGATCAGAGATAGGAAAATATAGATCCCTAGTGTCGCAATGGAGCAAGCAGACCAGTTTTGGTTTCTTCAAAATCCACTGAGACAACGTAGAAAACCCCCAAAATTCTGCAGGGATTCCCGCATAAGCCGCCTCTAACGATAACATGCAGTTATATTATTTCCCCCATTCTGCTTGATTACGGTGCAAATCGCCGAAAAGAAAAGAGACGGTCAGATGGATTGATTGTGATGAGTTAAACGTCCACGCAACAGCTATGGTCATATGTAGGCGGATGCAAAGGGTGTCACCGTCAAATAGAAACTGGTGTGAGAAAATAATATATCCCAAGTGTTGTGGGAGGGGCATCACACTTAAGGTTGTTCCGATGTCCCGTAAGCATGACACCACAGAAAATTCCCGATTTTACAGGGGGCCCAACATAAGTCAACATAGCACATTCCTGTTTTTACAGGGGGCCCAACATAAGCCACCATAGCACATTCCAGATTTTACAGGGGGCCCAACATAAGTCACCGTAGCACATTCCCGATTTACAGGGAGCCCAACATAAGTCACCATAGCACATTCCCGATTTTACAGGGGACCCAACATAAGTCACCATAGCACATTCCTGATTTTACAGGGGGCCCAACATAAGTCACCATAGCACATTCCCAATTTTACAGGGGGCCTAACATAAGTCACCATAGCACATTACCGATTTTACAGGGGGCCCAACATAAGCCACCATAGCACATTCCTGATTTTACAGGGGGCCCGACATAAGTCACCATAGCACATTCCCTATTTTACAGGGGACCCAACATAAGTGACCATAGCACATTCCTGATTTTACAAGGGGCCCAACATAAGTCACCATAGCTCATTCCCGATTTTACAGGGGGCTCAACATAAGTCACCATAGCACATCCCCGATTTTACATGGGGCCCAACATAAGCCACCATAGCCCATTCCCGATTTTACAGGGGGCCCAAAATAAGTCACCATAGCACATTCCCGGTTTTACAGGGGACCCAACATAAGTCACCGTAGCACATTCTCGATTTTACAGGGGACCCAACATAAGGCACCATAGCACATTCCTGATTTTACAAGGGGCCCAACATAAGCCACCATAGCCCATTCCCGATTTTACAGGGGGCCCAAAATAAGTCACCATAGCACATTCCCGGTTTTACAGGGGACCCAACATAAGTCACCTCTAACAACATGCAGTTGGGTGCACAGGCTTATTTCTCCCTCGAACCTACAGAGGTACAGAAAGAGGAAAAACATTAGATCCAAAGTGTTACATGTTAATGTCGGCAGCAGATCAAGGAAAATTCAAAAGAAAGACAACACCATAGCACATTCCCGATTTCCCAGGGGACCCAACATAAGTCACCATAGCAAATTCCTGATTTTACAGGGGACCCAACATAAGCAACCATAGCACATTCCCGATTGTACATAAGTCACCATAGCACATTCCCGTTTTTACAGGGGGCCCAACATAAGCCTCCATAGCTCATTCCCGATTTTACAGGGGGCTCAACATAAGTCACCATAGCACATCCCCGATTTTACATGGGGCCCAACATAAGCCACCATAGCTCATTCCCGATTTTCCAGGGGGCCCAACATAAGCCACCATAGCACATTCCCAATTTTACAGGGGCCCTAACATAAGTCACCATAGCACATTCCTGATTGTACAGGGGACCCAACATAAGTCACCATATCACATTCCTGATTTTACAGGGGACCAAACATAAGCCACCATAGCACATTCCCAATTTTACAGGGGGCCCAACATAAGTTACCATAGCACATTCCTGATTTTACAAGGGGCCCAACATAAGTCCCCATAGCACATTCCCAATTTTACAGGGGCCCTAACATAAGTCACCATAGCACATTCCTGATTGTACAGGGGGCCCAACATAAGTCACCAAAGCACATTCCCGATTTTACAGGGGACCGAACATAAGTCACCTCTAACAACATGCAGTTGGGTGCACAGGCTTATTTCTCCCTCGAACCTACAGAGGTACAGAAAGAGGAAAAACATTAGATCCAAAGTGTTACATGTTAATGTCGGCAGCAGATCAAGGAAAATTCAAAAGAAAGACAATACAGAACAATTTTTTACAGGGGGCCCAACATAAGTCCCCATAGCACATTCCCGATGTTACTGGGGACCCAACAGAAGTCACCATAGCACATTCCTGATTGTACAGGGGACCCAACATAAGTCACCGTAGCACATTCCTGATTTTACAGGGGGCCCGACATAAGTCACCATAGCACATTCCCAATTTTACAGGGGACCCAACATAAGTCACGATAGCACATTCCTGATTTTACAGGGGGCCCGACATAAGTCACCATAGCACATTCCCGGTTTTACAGGGGACCCAACATAAGTCACCGTAGCACATTCCTGATTTTACAGGGGGCCCGACATAAGTCACCATAGCACATTCCCTATTTTACAGGGGACCCAACATAAGTCACCATATCACATTCCTGATTTTACAGGGGACCAAACATAAGCCACCATAGCACATTCCCAATTTTACAGGGGCCCTAACATAAGTCACCATAGCACATTCCTGATTGTACAGGGGACCCAACATAAGTCACCATAGCTCATTCCCGATTTTACAGGGGACCCAACCTAAGTCATAATAGCACATTCCCGATTTTACAGGGGCCCCAACATAAGCCACCATAGCACATTACCGATTTTACAGGGGCCCCAACATAAGCCACCATAGCTCATTCCCGATTTTCCAGGGGGCCCAACATAAGCCACCATAGCACATTCCCGATTGTACATAAGTCACCATAGCACATTCCCTATTTTACAGGGGACCCAACATAAGTAACCATAGCACATTCCTGATTTTACAAGGGGCCCAACATAAGTCCCCATAGCACATTCCCGATGTTACTGGGGACCCAACAGAAGTCACCATAGCACATTCCTGATTGTACAGGGGACCCAACATAAGTCACCAAAGCACATTCCCGATTTTACAGGGGACCGAACATAAGTCACCTCTAACAACATGCAGTTGGGTGCACAGGCTTATTTCTCCCTCGAACCTACAGAGGTACAGAAAGAGGAAAAACATTAGATCCAAAGTGTTACATGTTAATGTCGGCAGCAGATCAAGGAAAATTCAAAAGAAAGACAATACAGAACAATTTTTTACAGGGGGCCCAACATAAGTCACCATAGCACATCCCTGATTTTACAGGGGACCCAACATAAGCCACCATAGCACATTCCCGATTGTACAGGGGACCCAACATAAGTCACCTCTAACAACATGCAGTTGGGTGCACAGGCTTATTTCTCCCTCGAACCTACAGAGGTACAGAAAGAGGAAAAACATTAGATCCAAAGTGTTACATGTTAATGTCGGCAGCAGATCAAGGAAAATTCAAAAGAAAGACAATACAGAACAATTGTTTCACTAGATTTGTGACCAAGATCACATAGAAAAAAATTGTCCAGAACTGATACAAAATAAATGTATTGAGAAAATTTTAAAAATATGGACTTTTCACCAGGGACAGATGTAACAAAGAGGTAATAAGTCTTTGTCCCCGATGTTTGCCCTAACCTATATGGCCACACTGATTTCTTTCAAGTTGTGGCAGGGTTCAAAATATACACTATATCTGCCTAAGAAATAAACGTGGTCTATGTTAGAAAAGCAAAATGTAAAGGGCGACGATAGACCAGTATCCAAATGCTAAAGTTCAAAACGTTTTACCCTAATGGGCAACCTGGTCAACGGTAGTCATACAAAACGACAACAAGGGGAGGTAACTGTTTGTTCAAATAATACAAAGTCAGTTTTTATTGTTTTGTCTGCAGCGTGACATGGGTCCTGAAAGAGTTTATGTTATGTTTTATGAACAGAAGTCGAATATATAATAATTATTCTCCATATACTAGGATAATATGCAAAAGATGCACTATCGACCATTTTACTTGTATTTACAGGTACCGTATCAGGTGGACGTGATCAGCATCAGCCCTAGGCGGTACATGTTGACAGACCTAAAGCACAAGGAAAAACACACGGACACCTTTATTATCACTCTCTATCAAATTCACCCTCCAGCCTCGTGGATAATGTTCCATCGTGGGTCAGCAACAACCTATGAAATCCCCTTCGACCTTAAACCCGCCACGCAGTATAAACTACAGCTTTTCAGAGTCCGCACGGAACACGCCAATGATGACATGTATATTGGATATTCACACTCAACCGTAACAACGTTTATAACACGTAGGTGAATCTTGAATATTCAATGCTATTACACGCGTTTAATACAGTCTACTTAATTAGCTTTAAATGATTGTCTGATAATTATCATGAAATGTATCTCTAGACGACAGTGTCTGGATGAATGAATATTCATGTTTAGGTTCAGGGGGGAGGGGGAAGGAAACAAAAGATACTTAGAAATAGAGAGAAGTTATCGTAAGTATAGCTCTGTGATGCGAAGCGAAGCAAGATCGATTCTTTCGTGACGGAAAATAACAAGGAAGCTTTAAACGGAGGTTAAATACCTAAAAATAGGCAAGCCAAGATATTTGCTCAGAAATACAGCAGACTCGTCTAGGAACAGACAAATTAATGTTTGATTCTAGTTTTCAATAGCCGTTGGCAACTTGCTTGACTATGCCAGGTACATATAAGTAGGTCACGTTACCACCCACGCAGTGATTGTAAAAGAGTTTCGAAAACATCCTTAGCCCGTTGTTGAGTGCTTTAGAAATCTTTACTGTAAAACTGATCACATATCTAAATTGTGTGTATATCTCAGGAACAGCAATGTAGGGCACCATAAGAAGTAATGTTAGCAGCACTAGTGTATCACCAAGTTAATAAAATGTAACTTATGCAAACAACGTAGAATCACCTGTGTAAACAGTTTAATAATGACTTTAAAACATTCAATGCGTTTGTGTTGTAAAAGCAATTGATGTTTTTTTTTGGGATAGTTACCATAATTTTTTCGACAAATGGTGACTTTATTACTTTTACTTATTACAAACCACAGTTAGAATTTATAAAAACAAAAAATACAAGGGATAATTTATATGATTTTGGAAAATTTGAACAATTGTTTCGACAGATATTAGAAAATTTGCAGACCTGTTGGTGTATATCAAAATCCGTTGCAAACTGATTTTACACACAATCAGCTGCACGTTTTGTAAATGTAAAGGTAAGGGGTACAGCTCAAAAAAGGGGTTATAATACTTTTGTCAATATTGCTATAATCACATGTGATTGGGAAATCTTACAGGTTTAATTGTCATAAAATAATTTGTTGAAATATACATCAGCTTATGTTATCTATAAATGAGCGACTTATGCAATTTCAGTTGCACTTGTATGATGTCATACTAACCAAAGGGTAATATTACTTAACTCTCTGTCAGCAATGTGTAATACTATTCCACTCAATACCCAAACGTTTATTTATGGTTTTCAATCACGAGACGTAAATATGAATATAAATATTGTGGAGACAGTTCAAAATTACATTAGACCCTTGACGTTTTTTTTTTTTTTTTTTTTTTTTATTAAACTCTCAAATAGCTTTATAAAATAATCTCTCTTACAACAATTGCAATATTTGAAATATGTATTGTCAAATCAAGTTCAAAGCACAAATAATCTCTTATTTTAATAACTAAAGAAACATATGTAAAAGTAACATTTATATGATATGTATATGCTGTTATGTTTAGTAAGGAGAGGGCTTATATCGGAAATGCCTGTTGTCCAATTCAAGTTCAAGTTCAAGTTCATTATTACTTTAAGTCGGTTGACTTATCAGTCATAACATATATACAAAACAATACAGAGACAACATACAATATGATACATACACCCACACACACACACACACACACACACACATATACACAATTCAACTTTTATTTGACAACTTATTGGATAACTATACTTTACAATAAATTACAAATTACGTATATGTATTGTGCAATCAACACTCATTATCACTCCCACATCATTATTGTGCATTCAACAATCATTAACGCTCTCACATCATCATCAGATCAATAAAATAAAATATTCTGAAATAAAATGAAAATAAAACACAGCCTATTGCTTTTATTTATACAAAATGGATAAGTAGAGAAAATACGAGATATTCGTTAAGGTCCTAACAACGGCATGACAACAAAGCAATCATAATGTAGAACCATTTAAAAAAAAAAGTTTTTTCTGAAAATTGACCGTTATTTGATATTATTATCTGTTTTATATTTTATATAAATGCAATAATGCTTTATTTAATAGGTATAAACAATACTACGGGCGGCATCACGGCAGAGGCTGAACAAACCGCTCCTGTTTTATGTAAGGTGGCCCCACATTGTACCAAATCTCGCGCAGGTTGGAGGGGGGATGGTGGTAGGGTATGATCTTAAGAGGCGACTAATGATGCTGCTGCAGAATCGGGGATAGCTTCTTCCTTGTCTTATATCAAGGGGACATTGAATAAACAAAGAACTGTGCACATGTATGTATACACATACTTCGCCTGTTATAGGGAACCAGAACACGTCACGTTTTAACATGTATATGTTTATTTATTTCAGATATGACAAAATATGAAGTGTTAGAGCTATACAACAAGGCGGCACATTTTCTGTCAAACAGCCCTCCGACTTTGACAAATATTTCTCATTTCTATCGCAATAAGTCTGAGGAGTACTTTAGCAATATCATGAGAACCGATGGTGTGATGCACAAGTACGACAAGAACTGGGGAGGAGATCAGGCCTCCACACTCAACAAACAAGTACAGGGTCTGTTCTTCAGCGCAGCCGTGGACCCGGTGACACGTTTACCTCCGGATGTTTCCTATTTCGGGCCATTAAGGTTACATGTCCCCACAAACGTCCTGTTGAACAACAATATTAATATGTATTTCTCTGACTTCTACTGTCACTATGTAAATCACAAGGTTCAATTGGTCTTTACGGTCAAGGGCAGTCCAACTGATGACTTCTGCAGACAACGACTTGTGCTTGTTGACCAGACCAACAACCCGTTCCTCACGAGAGTTAGATGCGGTTTCACAGAAATCGTCCGAGTGACAATGAACGTTACAGTGGAAATATTCTACACCGAGGACGTACCAGTCAGGGCCATGGTGTGTCGCAGTAATGTGTTCTTTACCACAACGAAACAAAAGGGAAACGCTTTGGTCATGGTAAACGGCATTCCAAAAAATAAAAACTGTCGAATATGTAATCTTGACTGCTTCCTTCTCGCTCATGCTATGATATCTTGATATAGAAACAGAAAGTGCAAAACTGTTTTTGGCATACAGTACATTTATTTGTCATTAACTGTATCCTTTAGTGCATCAAGCTCAATGATCTCAACAGTATTGGTATTACTGCATACATGTACGTACTAAATACCCGATTGTGTATTCCTACTATACACAATTTTAGATTTAGTGTTTTGTCAGTTACGTCATAAAATATGACTTTTTTTGTAGTAATTTATCGTATTTTATCTTTATAAAAATAAGACAGAAGTTGAAGCCAGAATATTTGAAAAAAATAGATGTTTATGATTTAAATCATGAAATTATAAAATTCAGGCATGCATATCAACATACAGTAAGGGTTAGTACAAATTGCATTCGTTTATCTTTATATGATCAACTCAAGCTTGTAATGCTATGGTTTGTGATGATTTTCCCACTAATTGTGTGTGAATATATAATCAAATCTATAATAACATACCCAAGGATAAGAGATGAACTCTTGCCATGGAAAGGAAACATCACTGAAATATATTTTAGCAACACGTTATCTATACAATCAGAAACTGTATCTATTGTTTTAGGTTTGAAATAACAACGGCGTATGTGTATGCAAGAAGGCGTTTATGAACTTCTAAGGTAGACCTACTTTTTCCGCGAAGATGTTAGTGTTTTCGGCATGATCAGAATTCAAGACTCTATAAGTTTTTAGAATATGAACAAAATGATATAAACGCATTATATGTATACTTATAAATCAAATTTGGTATCTGTTTTTCACTTAATGTCATAGACACTAACTCAGTTTGATAACTGATTGTTTTTGTAAATGTTATCCATACTTTGACTACCACTACGAAATTAGCCTGAAGAGAATACCCTATCGGTGATTGATGATATTAATGACAAAGGAGAATGAGACAATATAAAGTTGTAATTTACCACAGGATCAATGGATACCGTCCATGATGTTATTATGAGGCGGAGATCAAATAATGAAAATTTCACTAATACCCAAGATACATGCTTTTCGCTACTTATCGTTTACAAAAACTCATTACTATTAAATGGCGTGGCCTGAATGAATTTCTTGTTTTATACTCTACTACAAGCTGAATGAAACATTTATATGTTTTTATTGTTTTTCTTTTTAATTATGTGGCACTTTCTGTAGCAGTGTGTTTAAAAATAGTAAGATGTCATCTCTCCATTTTTGATATTTCGCTGATTATATTGTATTTCAACTCTTATTTTTTACAAAAAATAATGATTTTGTTATCAGACAATAACATAATTTTAGACAGATACTAATAATATAATTAATTTATACATCAGACATCAGCCGTGGACCCGGTGACACGTTTACCTCCGGACTGGTCTTTTTTTAGGCCACGAAGGTTACATGTACCGACATACCTCCTGTTGAACAACAACATGAACATGTACTTCTCTGACTTCTACTGTCACCGTGTCAATCACAAGGTCCAAATTGTCTTGGTGGTCAAGGAAAGCCCGACTGACCGCTTCTGTAGACAACGACTCGTGCTTGTTGACCAGACCAACAATCCGTTTCTAACGAGAGTGAGATGCGGTTTCACTGAAATCGTCCGAGTGACAATGAACGTTACCGTGGAAGTATTCTACACCGAGGACGTGCCGGTCAAGGCCTTGCACAGTCACGGCGATGCGTACTTCACCAGGACAGAACAGAAAGGGAACGCTTTGTCAATGATAAACGGCATTCCGAAAAATAGCAACTGTCGGACATGTAATTTGGATTGCTTTCTTCTCGCTCACAATATGTTGTGATTCGTTAATTGGTCTTTCACCAATTATTTTTCCTATAGTGAATAATGTTTGTTGAAACACCTGGAAGTAATTCAATATGACAGTTTTTTTATATTATACAATGTACTGGCATTTAAACTTCTTAATGGATCATATTTCCTACAACTATATTTGCGTTATATCTCGGCCCTCCTAATGATTCTAATAGTCGTCTAGTTAAAATCTCTGTGTGTCATGTTAATATGGGTTCATTGAGTAACAAATCTCATATTCTTGATGCCAAACTTTCTGATTTTGATCTTAGAAGTACAATAACACTGGATAAACTCATGTTACACCAATATATAAGGACAAGTGGTACAAAATATAGAAGTGACCCATCTAACCACAGACACATATCAGTTACTATTTTTAGCAAATTGTTTGAAAAAAATGATTTTAAAATACACGTTAACCAAACAGGTAGAGCTAGTTTGGAAGACAGAGAAAGGTAATTATACCAGACAAAGTAAGTAATGAAGTTCGGTTTTGTTTAGTTTTGTTTACCGTCCTATTAACAGCTAAGGACATTTAAGGATGTGCCTCCATATGTGTTGGGTACGCGTGCTTGTGTGTGTGTATACGGGAGACAGTGTATGTTGATATGCTAATCTCCTTGTGATAGCGCGGATCTGATGCCGACTATCTCGCTAGAGCAGAGAAAGGTAAGTATAACCGACAGAGCTAGTGTGGAAGGCAGGGAAAGGTAAGTATAACCGACAGAGCTAGTGTGGAAGGCAGGGAAAGGTAGGTATAACCGACAGAGTTTGTAGTCAAGGGTAACATATATCTACCAGAAAGGTAGGGCTAGTGTGGAAGGCGGGGAAAGGTTGGTATAATCGACAAAGTTTGTAGTCAAGGATAACATACGTATACCAAACGGGTACAGCTGGTGTGGAAGGCGGGGAAAGGTTAGTATAACTGACAAGAGTTTGTAGTCAAGGGTAACATATGTTTACCAGAAAGGTAGGGCTAGTGTGGAAGGCGGGGAAAGGTTAGTATAACTGACAGAGTTTGTAGTCAAGGGTAACATACGTCTACCAGAAAGGTAGGGCTGGTGTGGAAGGCGGGGAAAGGTTAGTATAACCGACAGAGTTTGTAGTCAAGGGTAACATTTGAATAAGAGTAGGGAGTGTGTGCAATCTGAATTATTGGTGAAACACATCAGTGATTTATTTAATAACTGAAGTTAAAAGCTCACACGTCGGTACATTATCATCGCTATACTTGTTCATCGGCTTTCGATTAAGTTATGAACAGGAATATCCAGCTAACTCGAATAAATGACAGGACACAGTTGTACAAAAATAGAATTCGTAGAAATTCATTCAAGTTAACCCCATGATATTAGGGGAACATGTACTTACAATAACACGAACACGTATACGGATATATATAGGCTTGCAACAGCAAGGGGCATACATGAACGAGGACGGGTGCCTTTGGAGACACCGTCTGAAACAAATTTATATAGGTATTAATATTGTGATATTTAGAGGCATTGTTTGTTGGTAATGTATAATATGCGTATTGTATCTTTTTAACGATACATGTTATTGAATTGATGAAGTTTGATAAAGTTGTAAGGTTTAAACACATATGACGGAGTCGAGTGGATGGCAAGATATGACCCAGATGTGTTGATACATGTAAAGGACTAAACATAAACCATGTACTGCACAGGTATTTGGATATACTATATGTTAATTGGCAAAACGTTGCTGCAGAATTATTAAAGTGTTTGATTAGAGTGTTTTAATTGGTATATTGTATTTAATCCAAGTGCTAATACATACGGGGGATGGATGGCGGTGGCGTAGAAAATTCACCCGCAGGTAATGAACAGTGGACTTGTCGGTAACTCGATACCTCGTATTATGTTCCGTTTAACAGTCTAAATACACATGTACAAAACAGATGTTACATACCCGGAAGTGCTGGACTGAGAAAACATACTGCTATTTGATTTCTGTGTCTATCACATAAACATCTCTTTGCAAGATAAGCGTACTTCCTGAAGTTTTTGTTGACCGGCTATCACGTTGAAGATTTGGTATGACATTGAGGTGAGTTATATTTTGTATTCATAAACGTTTATGAATCCACTGCAAGAATTAAGGCATACACAATACAGTACTCTAGATGTTGCATAACACGCTGGAAACGCCTTGACTTATAAACAATTAGATATCGGTTGTATTTGTTCGTATGAGAAAAGGTTATACAAATATCGAAGATACATTACGACATGATCCACCACTACATACCCGACATAATTATGATAGGGAAGTAGTATTTTAAGTTTGAGAGAAATCAGTTCAATTCTTTCTGATACAATATTCAGAACAGACAGTCAGACGTTCAGACGGGGTGATTCCAATATACCTGAAGAAGAAGTAAACCGTTTCGGAGATATAGCCTTTTTCTTTCTTACTCCGTTTGTTCCAGTTCACTCAGCTTTAAATGAGTACGTCGTTGGGCAGTGCTAGAATTGTTGAATACTAGCTGTGAGCGCCGAAATGACAGCACCGGTTGTTATCCTCCCATGGAGTTGAGAAAGATATTGGCTTGCCCTATAATCACGGATAATAATTTGTCAACCGCTCCAAGACAAACTAGGTTGTGATAAAGCGGTATTTATGCATCTACTCGCTATAACACAAGACGACACAATACGGAATATGAATGAAAAGGGCCACCGTCAAAGAGGGTGACTAAGCAGTTTTTATGAAATTTGAGGAAGTCTTCCGAATCAGAAATATAGCATAAAAACATAGACATAATGTAGAAGTAACTTGTACATATCATAAAAAGCCAATGTGGGGTAAACAAAACAACGCCACAAAGACATTGAGAATATCTTCCCCAAATAAGGCATACAAAAACCTCGAATTATTATTATTACTATCATGCAGATCGTTGAGAGTGATTTAGAAAACTGATTGAAAAATGCAGGCTTTTGTTTTGCTTTCATTTTAGATTTCAAACATCGTACAATATATTTTGACTGATGTGTACCAATACATAAAGAAATTAAATGTTCTTGTTGTATTCCCATTTGTTTTGGTTTTACCGTTATTGTGTGTTCGTATTGGACTTGATTTTATATTGCAGGTATTTATTTTCACAATTTTAATTTGCGAAAAGTCAAATCATAATATGATTCATATACTTTCATGGATAAGAAAAAGAATGTAAAACGCGAAAATTAAACAGGTTTACATTTTTATATCTATCAATATCAGCTATTGCTTTAACTAGTTATTGCAATTTGTGAGTTATATGATTATTATATTTTTGTAAATATTGCATAACAGTTTTAAACTATGTATATTTTTTGTTGAACAGGCGTACAATTCTGATGATGCCAGAGCAGTGGATATTGTCTTACATGAAACATGGCCCTTAACATCACACACTGGCAAAACGAAGTTAATAGCGAGGACGGCGAGGTAGGGTACCATGAAATATATTTTCGTTTTACTGTGGTAATTTGTTACATTAATCTACAGAAAAAACTAACTAAATTGATAGCAATAATTACTGTAAAAGCATAATATTTCGTTGGGGATATAATTTCGTTTATTTCGTGATTTTATAATAAAAAGCCCGATATATCATCCAAATGAAATTTTAAACACACAAAATATAAACTAAACGAAAATATTAAATAAATCTTTAATCTTATTATGAACACATGTTGTCAGCAAGATTAGATTATATCTTAATATCAGACAGTTTACTACCAAGTCTCACATCTTCAATAATTGAACCAGGTTACCGCTCTGATCATTCTATCTCTACCATACACTTGTCTTTTAATAACTTCATACGGGTAACTGGTTTATGGAAATTTAATAACTCTTTTATTTGATGCTGAATTTTTAAATCTTATTAAATCAATAAAAGATAATGTCAAGCTGCAGTACTCGATACCTGTTTATAACACAAATATCAATAATATACCTTTAAATGAAATAGTATTTACCATTAACGATCAACTTGTCTTAGAAACTCTTATGATGGAAATTAGGGGTAAAACAATATCATATTAGAGCCACATTAAAAAAAATTAACGAGAGAGAGAAAACTTTAATCAATGAATGAAGTTAGGAATTTAGAAAAAACAGGACCTAACAACACATTTTAAATGATGTAGATGATAAAAAAAGGAATTAGAAGAAATAAGAAAGCACAAAATTACAGGAAATATGATACGTTGAATTACTTCTAGAATAATAGAAAAACGGAAATGGGAATAGACACCAACCGTAAATCTGAGTTTCAAATAACTTTACGACCAGTGTTTAAATGGTAATCTTAGTACATAATTGTTTGTATATGGAATTGGCTGGGAAAAAATAAGTGTTAAAAACAGAGGCTATATCATTCTTAAGATTTGTCTAAAATGTTGTCATTTTGATATTTGGATGGATGAAGATATATCTTCGTGCATACGTTTTACTTTATAATAGGAAAAAAAGGAAAAATGTTCATTACATTTGATTCAAACGAAAATGGCTTTCCAGTTCTAGTTGTGAAATACTTACATTTGTTCCTTGAGTTTCTCCTCACTTTGAAGTTCTTTTGCTTCAGAGTCCGGTTTCCAGATCCGGTTTCCTAAACGGAACTAGGGTATGGTTTCAAGTCCGCTTTTCTTAATTAGGATCTCGAAAAAAGGAACTAGCTTGAAGCTGAAATACATCTTTTCATTCACAGGTATCTACACTGACTTTGAGAAGTCACACAAGCAACAACCCATCCGCTTTGGAAATAAACATCAAACGAAAAAAAGACCCTCTAATAGATTTCCTATTTTTGCAACTATTCAATAATTTGAGTCATGCGATATTTCAATCCTTCTTTCGTGCGTCACAATGTTGCTCTTTTACGTGTCCTGATGACGTATTGGGGAGATCCTTAGTAATCGTTACCGTGTGCGGTGTCAAAACATTGGGTACTGATACAGGTGTCTCGTACCACATCCTGATGGGAGGCAAGGCATTAGTTAACCTCACAGGCGGTACGTATATTTATTGCTAGGGTTACTGTTGGTGGTATAGAGCAGAACGTGTCTCATTTATTCCCCTCCCCCTTCTTTTCTTAAGTTTCTGACAGTTTATCCACTAAAGAAGGAAAAGGGGCACTAGTAAATCAAACAAATGTCCATTCTCAAGTCGGAAATTATTCACGTAGGGGACAAAACAATTCGAGAGATGTGTAACATTATTATGATATACATTGTAATGTAAATAGCTTGACCGTGCAAGTCATCCCTAACCCTAATATATCAAATTAGAACTATATCAAAAGAAAGAATAATGTTTTGGATATTGTCACTGGTCATTTGACTTTTTCTACCACAATACGGTGTGTTATTCCACTATCAGATCATATTGTATACACATGCAGACTGTTAGATAAGTATGAGTATTAACCACATGTGGTACATGCATATGGTCTTCAAGTGTTTAAATTTGCCGAGAAGATGAACTTTGATAGCGACTACTTTTTTCACGCGCTTTGTGCAACGTGTTTTTTTCTTTACGTTGTCCGCTGTCAACATGGCTACTTTTCTATTCATCACTTAGCGGGAGGCAGACTGTTTACGATATGCTTACGCGCGTATGCTCCGCAATTAATTGATATTAAATTAATGCAATACAGCATACTCTCAATATTTGAAGACGTTTATCTACTTTATTTTGTCATAAAGTTTTTGTCGACCGATTGACTTTGAACATTATAAAATTTGTCAAGTCATTTTTGAATATCAATGATTGACATTTTACATATGGGTCATATCAAGCAGGTCACGCTCCAGCTGTTTCCGACTGAGATTGTGGTTAAAAAACAGGTCACACTCCAGCTGTTTCCGACTGAGATCGTGGTAAAAAACAGGTCACCCTCCAGCTGTTTCCGACCGATATTGTGGTAGAAACTGTTCACACAACTCGTGCTTGTTGGATGTAGTATGTATTTTACTCTCGTTAGTTAATTTTCAAAAGTTACATAGAGACACTCGCTAAAGCTCGTGTCTTTTGTAACTTTTGAAAATTCACTAGCTCGAGTGAAATTAATACCACATCCAACAACCACTCGTTAAGTAGCCTCTATCTACAATATATTTGTCCAATCTTGGCTAACCTTCATCTAAAACCTATACGTGTAATGAACCAAGTGGTTTACAGTCAAACTCTTCCGTCAGTCTCAGGTTAGATTGCTGTTTCTACGACAGTATACGTTTCTGAGGGATTCGTAGTTTCCGTTTTGTTTTGACAGAATTATTGCAACTGTCAGAACCACATACCAAATCTCATTATACGTGTATCTCCAAAAACAGAAATATTGAATATAATATCGTATGCATTAAGCACTACAAACTACCTTTTTTATTTTCAATCATTAAACAGGTGTAACAACCAACCACGTTATGGTTAATATACAACCGCTTACAACATACCTAGATCTAATGGCAGATGCGACAAATAAGGTAAACACACCATTTACAAGTCATCCTGATTTTACTTTGAAAAACATGTCTCCCTTGATGTCTTTCCAAAAAATAATAAAATAATCAATATAAAATACGGCTGAAGATCTAAGCTGGGATAATGTTTTGGATATCTACATCATCTCTTACCTTGTGGTTAGTACGCGATTGTATTAACATATAATACATTCGTACATGTAATAAGATTAGCTCAATGTGAAAAGGAAGTAAAAAAATATCAATGATTGTAAAGGAGAATATTAGTTTTGTGCCGACCATTTTGCATATTTATAAGTAATATTTTGAGATGCTAAAATTCATTTAACCTGTCTACATATTAACTCGCTTCTGCAGATACCGTATCCTGTGGACGTGGTTGGGGTCGGCCCGTATAGGTACATGTTGACAGACTTGAATCAAGGCGGCGAACACACGGACGGCGTCATCATCTTCCTGCACCAGATCCACCCTCCGGCCGCGTGTATCATGTTCAAACATGGTTCCAAAGCAACGTATGAGATCCCCTTCGACCTGAAACCCGCCACAGAGTATAAACTTCAACGTTTCAGAATCCACAAAAGCCACGCCATGGATGACGTATATATTGAAAATTCACACTCAAACGTAACAACGTTTATTACATGTAGCTGTATCCAGTTTATCAAATGATAACTATGGTCAAGTTGTACTTTTACATTTATTCCATACAACAGAGTCAATCCAATTTAGTTGAATAAATAAGTGTTAGTTGTGTTTTCGTTGAATATCAATATGTTTTTTAACCAGTTGTATATTTGATATATTATAAAAAGGTAAGGTATTACCTGCTAGAAATTTATCAGATGAAAATAAATTACACCTGTATGCTTTAATGGTTACTTAATGACAGGTGGGGGTATATAGTGAAAAAAAAAGTTAAATAGTCATGTGTTCCATCAGCGTTTACATTGTATCACTGAGTTATTATGGTATGAACCTTAATTTACTGAAGAACCATCAGGTTTTAGATCTTGCCAATTCCTTTAATTTTACTTTCGCTTCTAGATGCATCGCCGGGATATTATCTTTGTTTAAAATAATGTATTCGTCAATTGTATGTACATTTTCGTGTACATGTATATACATGAACTTGAAATCATGGAAACAACATATTAATTTATTTACACCCGGCGCTACGCTCGATTTTACAACTAGATGAGCGGGGAAGATGTATTTCTAATAAAGCCGTATAAGAAGCATGATGGTCTCGATATTCAGAACTTTCTTTTTTATCAAAATAAACTTCCCTGCCTCTAGCATCGGCAGTTGATTCGATAATCACGTTTTGCTCCTTAGATCACGATTTCTCGGAAAGAAATTTATGTTTACGGACAATACGGACAATGTCTCGAGAGATTACTTGTGCGATATAAATATGCCCATTATTTTTCCTGGTAGTTTTCGTAGATATTAACCCGGTTCTCACTTTTAAAACGTGACATTGTTTTGATTTAACCTTAATTTTACATGAAAAGTGTCGTCAAAATCAGTATGTATACTGCCTGTTAGACATAAAAGTTACTGTGTGCTGTATCATAGTCTTTGGGCCGATAGTAAGACAGTGTAGTATGTGTTAATGACGCCTGCAATGTTATGATGTTTACATGCATATGTTACCCGGTGACGTGTATATACTTCAGATATGACGCAAGCTGAGGTGGTGGAACTCTACAATAAGGCTGTACATTTTTTGTCCAGACAAAAGCCAAACTATTCGGACATTTCTCATTTTTATCGTAATAAGTCTGAAAAGTACTTTAACAATATTATGAGAACAGATGGTGTGATGCACAAGTACGACAAGAACTGGGGAGGGGATCAAGCCTCCACACTCAACAAACAAGTGCAGGGTCTGTTCTTCAGCACAACTGTGAACCAAGTGACACGTTTACCTCCAGACTTTTCCTATTTCGGGCCAGTAAGGCTACATATCCCTACATACTTCCTGTTAAACAACAACATGAACATGTATTTCTTTGACTTCTATTGTCACCGTGTCAATCACAAGGTCCAAATTGTCTTGGTGGTCAAGGAAAGCCCGACTGACTGCTTCTGTAGACAACGACTCGTGCTTGTTGACCAGACCAACAATCCGTTTCTAACGAGAGTGAGATGCGGTTTCACTGAAATCGTCCGAGTGACAATGAACGTTACCGTGGAAGTATTCTACACCGAGGACGTGCCGGTCAAGGCCTTGCACAGTCACGGCGATGCGTACTTCACCAGGACAGAACAGAAAGGGAACGCTTTGTCAATGATAAACGGCATTCCGAAAAATAGCAACTGTCGGACATGTAATTTGGATTGCTTTCTTCTCGCTCACAATATGTTGTGATTCGTTAATTGGTCTTTCACCAATTATTTTTCCGATAGTGAGTAATGTTGGTTGAAACACCTGGAAGTAATTCAATATGTCAGTTTTTATATGTTATACAATGTACTGGCATTTAAACTTCTTAATTGATCATATTTCCTACAACTATATTTGCGTTATATCTCGGCCCTCCTTATGATTCTAATAGTCGTCTAGTTAAAATCTCTGTGTGTCATGTTAATATGTGTTCATTGAGGAACAAAACTCATATTCTTGATGCGGAACTTCCTGATTTTGATCTTAGAAGTACAATAACACTGGAGAAACTCATGTTACACCAATATATAAGGGCGAGGGTGGTACAAAATATAGGAGTGACCCATCTAACTACAGACACATATCAGTTACTATTTTTAGCAAATTGTTTGAAAAGAATGTTTTTAAAATACACGTTAAATCTCCCGAGAGATAACATTCTCTTTAAAATTTTTAACATAATGATTTAAGTGAATGGAAAAAGAAACAGGCCAGAGGTTGGCTATAACTTTAAAACAAGTGTTGTGATTTTTAAAAAAAAAATATCTTTCATAAACAAATTACCAAACATTCATTAGCTGTATAGTTGTTTCGGAATTCATAGTTCATAGTAAGGTACTCCCAACATTAGTATATGGTATCTTACATTCGTAAAATTGCCATGTAATACAATCGAATGTGGTTTTACACCATAAGTTTGGTTTGGTTTAGATGCATTTTGTTTAACGTCCTTTTTACAGTTAAGGTTATTTAAGGACGTGCCTCCATGTTTTGTTTGTTGAGTGTCGAGGCCTGCTCCCCTCCCCAGTTATTGTAGTACTTGTGCATCACGCCATCTGTTCTCATGATATTGTGAAAGTACTCCTCAGACTTATTGCGATAGAAATGAGAAATTTCCGAATAATAGGGCGGTAGTCTGGACACAAAATGTACAGCCTTAGTGTAGAGTTCCCCCACCTCATCTTGTGTCATATCTGAAATATATACACATTACCAGGAAGTATATATAATGCAAACAACATTAACACAGACTACACTCTCCTACAATCAACGCAAAGTTAGGATACATCACAAAATGACTTATATGTATTTCAGACAGTACACATATTTGCTTTGGCGCCCAACTTTTTATATAATTTGGAGTTTTTTGTTTGTTTGTTTGTTTGTTTGTTTGTCTGGGGTTTAACGTCCTCGCCGCGACAGTCAGAAACGAAAGAAGACAGGAAACGAAAAAGATCCCAATAGTGGCAAGTGGGGCAGCAGTTCAATTTTGGTCTCTTCCATGTCCTCTTCGTAGAAGACACTGAGGAAAAACCCCGATTCTACGATACACCTGTATTGGCAGGTATATTCTTGATCTCTTCAATGTCCCCTAAATAAAAAGTAAGCAAGAAATCATCCCCGATTCTGCAGGGGGGTGGGGGCTATTCATATTAACACATACCGTTATATATAAAATGTAGTTCAAATGACTTATTATGTCAACTACGAAAACCATCCAGGCACAAAATTGGGCATATTCAGCATATTCCGAAATGTCTCTCGAGACACTAAGTAGCTTGTCCGTAAGTATCAGACTTCTTTCAAAAAAATCATGACCGACGGAGCAAGAACGCGATTATCGAATCAACAGCAACCTGTAAACACTGACGATGCTAGAGGCAGGGAAGTTACTATTACGAAAGAGAAAGTCCAATATCTGAATATCGAGACCATCACGCTTAGAGATAAATCTTCCCTGTTAATCTAGTTGTAAGATCGCACTTAGCGGCGGGTGTGAATAAATAAGTCTGTAGTGTCCCTGATTTCAATTTCAAGAGAGTAAGTATCCGGCGATATTTCTAAAAGCGAAAGTAAATTTGAAAGAATTTGAAAGGTCTATCTCCTGATAAGTTAAGAATCCTACCGCATTTATTCTGTGATTCAATGCATAGGCTAATGGAAGCCAAGGCTATACAATTAGTTATTATTCAAAATGTACTCCACCTGTCATTAAGTAACCGTTAAAGCACTCAAGTGCGAGGAATTACTTAAGACAGATAAGTATTTGGCAGGTAATTTTTTTATGTATTAATTAAAAAAGAAACATTATATTTATATTCAATGGAAAGGTAAGTAACACTTATTTGTCTATTGAACTACATTTTTGATTTTGTTGTAAAGAATAAATGTACGAGTATAACTAGACCATACAAACATTTAATACGCTGGATACACTTACATGTAGTAAACGTTGTTACGCTTGAATGTGAATTTTCAATATATACGTCATCCGTGGCGTGTTTTGTGCAGACTCTAAAAAGTTGTTGTCTATACTCTGTGGCGGGTAATACCCATACTCATACATATCTCATTAGGAAATCTGACCATAATCAGACATATGGTCAGATGTTCCTCCAGTTGTTGTATATACATATATATATATTATAAAAAGAAAAATTCTTAGAAACGATGAAAGTACTAAAGACTCGTTGTTAAGATTTTTTCTTTTTATAATATTTCTTCGTACGTAAGGATTATTTTTCTGATTTATAACACACACACACACACACATATATATATATATATATATATATATATATATATGTATGGGGCTAGGAAGTAATTCTTACAGTGTATATATATACAGAGATAGTATTTATGAAATCTTCTCAAATAATCTTCAATTTGCCTTGCTAAAATATTTCGTGTTTGTAAAAGTTATTCACTGCCGTGACTGGTATTTGGCTTTTCAAACATCTTGATTAGTTAATGTATTGTGTTAACCAGAAAAAAAGAAAGTTATCAACTTTACTTTTAAGTATCACTTTTTTGTAATATTTGTTATTTTCAATTGACGTTTTTAATCTTCCTCCATATTCTTATGAGCAAATAAAACCTTCAATGAAACACTGACTTCTATTGCAAAATGAAACAATACCGAAATCCGACTGGTTCGCCCGTTGTCAGTATAATGTGATCGGGTATTGTATCATGCTGGGTGTCCTCGGCAGTATGTTTCAGTTTGGTAGCAATATAAAGTCGGCATCAGTTCCGCGCTATAAGAAGGATACAAACCCGAACAAATCGCATCCTCCCAAAACACACGCATACACTACACGTATGCATCTTGCACACAGGTGAGGCCGTCCTTAAATGACCATACATGTAGCTGTTGATAGGACGTTAAACAATACTAAACCAAACCAAACCGAGCTAGATATCAACTAACGTAAGCCGAAAAATCGAGGACGTCGTAGAAACCCGAAAGCTAGATAGCATAACGTAAACCAAAAAAATCGAGGACGTCGCAAAACTCGAAAGCTAAATATCAACTAACGTAAGCCGAAAAAATCGAGGACGTCGCAAAACTCGAAAGCTAGATATCAACTAACGTAAGCGGAAAAATCGAGGACGTCATCAAAACCTGTAAGCTAGATATCAACTAGCGTAAACCGAAAATCTCGAAAAACCCAAATATGTAAGAAAAAATGTTATTTATTGTACATATAGTTGTTATTGTAGAGTTAATATACATTACAACTTTTTTTTAAACGTATTTCATCACAATTCTATTACATTACTGTTTTAAAACGAGAGAGTAGCTAGAAATTGTTAACTTCAGACGGCAGCGAATAAATATTATTCTCCTCAACACCATCAAGACAAGTCCAGCTGTTACTACATGTACTCCCGCCGTCCAAACCCTGACACGTAGTGTGTTACTGCTCCCGCAGTCCAGACAACCCTCGTGACGTCATCTGAAAGTATAAATCAAAGGTATTATGACGTCATCAGGTAAGAGGTCACTCAGTACAAACCGTCCCAAAAGAACCGCCCCAAATGGCAAAACCGCCACAAAGAACCGCCTATGCTACTTCAAGGTTATGATGCTTGTTTATTCTGTTAACGCTTGTTACCTATAATGACAAAGGTATAAAGCCCATTGTCTATATATATAGCTTTATTGATGTCTCCCTTAACAGTATACGTGTGTGAGTCAGCTAGCTGTGGACGAACATGAGAAGCCTAACAACGTACCCGGACACATACACATTAGATTAACGTTTAGAGTGGCTGCCAGGATACACACGTACCGGGACATGTCGTTTACACCTACATCGGCAAAAATGATATTTAGCAGGAGGTGAGTGCTAACTGACCGTGTTAATTGACAATTAACGTACACTAGATCAGTATAGCATTACTATATCATTATAATCACATACGGTGTTTAACTGCAGTAAACATCGGGTGCATTGATGTTATAAATATTAACTTCCTTGTACACAATGATGTTGTGAATTTCATACGAACATTTTTTTTATAATTTTCAACGCAATAAATGCTACCTGACATTTAACATGGATGATAAGTTAGCTTAAACTTCATGTGTATTTCTTGTAGAACATATGGTGTCATTGTATGCTGTCATTGTTAAATGAGTGTAGAGGGAGTCACAGGACCGGATCACCTTTGAATGTCCAGGTACTTCATGTTACTTAGACACAGGTAAAGTAAATATGTATTGGGTTATTGTAATAGAGCTGATTAGGAATGCTGATGTTTTTTAATTTTCATTTGTTGGTTGCTGACAAGTGCTAAATTAGACCATTAAACAAAACAGTTAGCTCCCAACGTCGAGTTATGGTGATATTTTTATCAACAAAATGACTTCTGATAAAGGACGCTCAGGTGTTATTACAAAGAAACGAGGTCACACGAGCGATAAACGCTTTATGACGGGTTGACAATATTTTTTGATAACGATAGTCTCATTGTTACGTAATCAGAAAGCACTTATAGATTAATAATTACGAAAAAAACGAAAGAAAGTTGCTGCTAATTTAAGTATTGCAAGCACGGTGATTAAATGGCAGTAAACATACTGATGATTTACATACTTGTTATATACTCGTGGTTTGATTCATTTACAGTCACCAATAACACTGTAAAATTGAACAGTATTATTTTCAAACATTTAGTAACAAATCATATTATCGTTTCAAGATATCGGACTATAGCTTTCTTTGGAAGTTGTATTCATTTGTCAAATACATGAAGTCCATTTGGAAAGTGCCGACATTGAGACGCGTTGAGCAAGAGTCCTGGGCCCGGTCCGCCGGAGAGGGGGTCGGGATAGCTGTGTAGCTCACGCAGAGAGGTGACATGCGCCTTTTGCTGGTGGTTATCGCGAATAACAATGCGACCGTCAACGTACCAGATATGTGTTTGTTCTTTCTTAACCACGGGTCTTACTGTACACTTCCATCCGCTGTTTCGTCAGTGCTTTATTTATTTGTGTGGTTTTTGACCAGACTTTTCACCTTTATTCGACTTAATCGGGTTGAACCTTGCCTCGTAGACTGTAGCTCGCGTGCGCTAAGATAAATGTCTCAAGGTCGATCAGCACTTTTTGGACCAACTCGATGTGTTCTGCTGATATCGCTAGGAAATACCGCTACACCGAGCGCGTCATTACAAGTTATTAAGATGATATCATCAGTACTCTCTCTCGTTCCGTCTCAAGGATACCGCGGAACTAAAGACAATTACGTCGGAAGTATCTTTCCATTTCGTCAACTCGATCTTTTAATGCTACTTTCTCGGCCTAGAGATTGTCAATACCCATTGACGGCTGTAAAGTCTGTTTTAATATAGCATTGTCCATAAGTATGCCCACTACCTGTTTGATCGTATGAGGGTCCCCGTGTGCACTTAATGTTTCGGCGCGGTTTTTGCCTATTTTTGGGTAATTCAGCTGCCATTTTACAGTAATGGAATATAAAGATAATGTCAATCCATGATATAAACACAAATAGATATTTTGCGTATATGAGTAAAGTCAATATTTAGTATCGCTCGGTAAGGCTCGTACACACATGTACGACTGCACGCTTTTCTTTGGGTCACTCACAGGTACGGAATGAGAGCTAAATAGTTAGTCTGTACTTGTAGAGTAGATGATTCAACATATGCAAATTAACGTGTATCTTTCCTCCTCCTTACTCACTCGTTTACATGGCCATGTCCCGTATCACGGCCCCAGCAGCTTATGTTCTCAGAGCAAATTAACGTGTATCGTTCCTCCTCCTTACTCACTTGTTTACATGGCCATGTCCCGTATCACGGCCCCAGCAGTTTATGTTCTCAGAGCAAATTAAC